TAAATTTCATTTCGTTCGGGGGGGCGGTAAAAAATTTTCGGGGGGGGGGGGGGGGGGGGCTTTGCCCCCCCCCCCCCCCGAAGAGATGCCTGGAAGAAACTCTGGTCGTAGCGACCCTTACCAGCGCCCAGAGACAAACTTTTCGATTTGCACCCCCCCCCTCAAACTTTCGATTTGCACACCCCCCCCCCACACACACACACTCAAGATTTCGATTTGCACCCCCCCCCCCCTCAAACTTTCGATTTGCACCCCCCTCAACCTTTCAATTTATTTTTCCAACCTATTTTGTCGCCCCCTAAGGTCGGCGCCCGGGGACATATGTTCCCCTCCCCCCCGCCCCCCACCCTCGCTACGCTACTGGGAATAGTGAATAGACGGTTTCAGTTTTCATTCTAATATAGATCTAGATCTAGATCTCTCTAGTGACATTTCCTAGTAGATAACTAAATTTCCAAACTAAAAATAACATTCGTTTTGGCTCATGCATAAACTAGCGAAAATCGCATTTTTCAATAAACTGTTCATTTCGTTACATTAGGTCTAGCATCTAGTCTATTATTTGAAATAATATTGCTAAAGGCCTAACCATAAAACAAGAATACTAGACTAGGCCTACAGTCTAGACTACCTACAGTAGATTCTAAGTTTCTAGGCCCTAAGTTAGGTTTGCGTTTTCGATGAATCATTTAGATCTAGATATATTTGCTGCGGATCTTCGTATACATTTAGAACTTCCGGTTTATAGCCGGTGTGGAAGTTGGCGAAATAGCGATTTGTTATAAAAATAATAATACAATGGCTTTTCCTATGGATACAGCCCCCTCTTTGGATACTGTTAACCAGGCATTACAAGCTTTATATAATAACCCAGATGTTACTGGAAAGGAAAAAGCTTCTGTATGGCTTGGCGAATTACAGAAATCGGTAAAACTTCAATATTTTTTTTAGTAGTCTGATTCCTGATCAGACTGATGGATGAATGATGAAGATGAAGTCATTGAAAACAAGAACGTGTGATGATGGGAAGACAAGATTCCGACTTAATGAATAGCAATTTAATTTAATATTTATCTAAACTATAACAAGCCTAGATCTAAGTGATTAAGAAGGCACTTTAAACTTTGTGAAAGTGAGTCACAGTTGCATGGCCATGAATTTCTGGAACTCAAATTTATCAACTTAGCCTTAGCTTTCCCCCCCCCCCCCCAAAGAAACCACAAAAAGCATGAGGTAATCTAAAGCAAGCATGTCTGCATTATTCAAATAATCCTAAATTAAACATAAGGCCTAACTAAATAGGCCTAACTAATGCATTTAGGGTGCCTATTCATTTACTTTCCTAATTCTTTTATATAGGCCTATCCATTACTATTGGTCCAGAAACAGCACAGAATAATGCATAAAAGACACCTTACATTCTATGTAGTTCTACAGAACTGTTAAGTAACAGCCTGTTAGAAGTACAGTTGACAGTGCACATATATAACCTTAGAAAAAAACAAGTTCAATCTTGTGTTGTTTTTTATTTCACAAAACTCTGAGGGAGGGGCTGGTCTAATTAATTTAAAAATAGATCTGTTTTAGCCTAACTATTGTTGCCTAAAACAGCTAAAATATATTTCCAAATTCACTAATGCTGGCTAGCTTATCATCCTTTTTTTTCATTTTAGGTTTTTGCATGGCAGATAGCTGACCAGTTGTTGAGAATGAATCAGAGTTTAGAATCCTGCTATTTCGCAGCACAGACTATGAGGACTAAAGTATAACTTATTAACACTTAGTTGTTGTTTTTTAAATAAAGGGTTTAGTGATGGTGTACACACGAACAGTAAAGTTATAATTTTAAAAATTTAATAAATATGAAAATGTAAATGATACTGATTTTTAGTTAGATTAATATTCAATTTTATTTTTCAGAACAGAACTTAAATACTAGCTTACTAACTTTGTTTTTTTAGATCCAGTATGCTTTTCATGAACTTCCTGCAGATTCACACCAGGTATTTATTGTTTGTTTGTTTTTTGGTTTGATTTTTAATACTGATGCTCAAGAAAACATTAAAACATATGAGAAACATTGTACAATATTTTCATTTGTAGTGTAGTTATAAAACTGATCTTTTATGGAGTTAATATACTTGTTGCTTGTGACATTCTCATCTTTAAATCTATTTTTATTCATCCAGTCTTTGAGAGACTCTTTACTTGAACATGCTTCAAAAATTGCACCAGGGACTCCGCCTGTTATTGTAACACAGGTCAGCTGTTGCTTTTGTTTAACATTTTTTTTTAATGTGACTTTCTGTTTTAAAATAGTTCTTTGTTGTGTTGGTTTTTTTTTTTCAACATTCATTCACAAACTTTTATCTATTTTAATTAATGTTAAGTGAATGAAAAGTTTAATATTATTAAAATTTTATAATACAGTTGTCGCTCGCATTGGCTGATTTAGCTCTTCAAATGGCCACATGGAAGTCAGCAGTTTTAGACTTTATTGACAGGTATATTTATTTGGTATTTGTTTATCAGCCATATTTACTTATTGCTGTAGATAACTATGTCATTTCAAATGTATTAAGGCTTAGAATTCTAAACATCAGCAAAAATGTATTAACTATAATACTCATTCTTGTAAAGTTCATTAATGAAATTACTTTTATTGTGCAGATTCAGTAAAGATCATATGGGTTTTTTACTTGAAGTTCTCACAGTGCTACCAGAAGAGGTAATAACAATTTTGCATGTATGTCTTCTTCTCTTTATGCTTATTTATATTATGTTTATAATTGTTTCAACTTAACTTACACATTAAATGAGTTTTTGTTAAAGTTATATAGTTACATGATTAAATATATCAAATGCATACGTTTTAGTTTACTATTTAAAAAACTTGCTATTACATTGATGCATTGTTTTGCAGATAAATAGTCGTTCCCTGCGCCTTGGAGCCAATCGGCGTAAAGAAATAACAGAGGAATTAGTTGCAGCCAGTGCAACAATAATTCAGTTGTTAACTCATGTGGTAAAGCTTACATGCAGATTTCTGTGAATGAATGCTTTTATTTCTAAATTAATTTAACTTTTTAAAATTAAGTTAAATTCCCTAATGAACTAGCAAATTCATGACATATAAAGATTGGTTGGGCTCAAATGATGACTTAATTTTTTTTAAAAATTAAATTTCATTGAATTGGTTATTATATCAAACTTACAAAGCTATTCTAAAAAGTCGACAAATATTTCCCTGCAGTATGTATTTAAAATATGATTATATTGATAATATAAAGTGCAAGAATTCAAGTTAAGTAATTATTTGAATATTCATTTAAATTTAAAATATTTTTATTATAAATGTTTAGAACCTAAGTGCTTCAGGAGAGGAGGAACGAGATCAAAGAGCTCGCAGCAAGACATTTAAAGTAATGGGAAGTTGGTTTTCTGTTGGAGCTTTACCACAGTCTGTTCTCCTGTCCACACAGCTTATGAATTATCCTTTTCAGTCTCTGGTGAGTTTGCTACACCAATTCCATTTAAATTAAAAATAGATTTTAATTTTTTCCGTGTTTGGTTAACTTTCTTTTATTTTTCCAGGCCAATGTTCACTGCCCAGCTTTTCTTCATGAAGCTGCCACTGACTGTATCTGTTCTGCACTTTATTGTTCAGAAGTAATAACAAAAGGCATCTTCTAACATTTTAATTTTTTTATATACATACAACTAAATTACTTTGTTTTGAAAATTTATAGTATTTTATTTAAGAATGTGTATAATTTGTATATGTAAAATTCTATTCTTTCTATTCAAGGATTTGGAAAATTACCTTGAGTTAGCTCATCGATTGTTTCAAGGTGTCATGACACTAGTTCCAGCATATCACCAAGCAGATAAGGATGAGGAATCAGACAAGTATGCTGTATTTTTTAATTTTAAATGATGAACTTCCATTTTGCACAATAGTTGGTTGTCATAGAAACATAAATATCTGACTAATAATTTTAAATTTTCAAATTTTTACTTCATTGTTACATTTTTAGGTGCCTGAATTATTGTAGAGTTTTTACAGAGTTGAGTGAGTCACTGTTTCACATGCTACTATCTACACCAAATGAGGTATGTAAACTATCTTTTATAAATGTTTATTTATATCACTTAATGTTGTTTAAACTTTTTACTATTAACTTGGGTTAAATTTTGTATGTCCAAAGTTAAGGTAGTATTTAAAAACTTTTTTAATCTACAGGGCTTAGGAACATTTCAATTGCTAGATTTACTTTTAATGTGTGTTGGTCACCATCTTTATGAGGTAAGCTCACAATAATTTTCTATCATATTTTGAATTATTACAAAAATATTTAACTAATCGTAATCGCATAATACTTGACAAAAATAAAGCTCAACAGTTTACAGGTTTAGCTTAAGCATAATCATAATTATATAAATAGCAATTGTTTTTTATTTTTGAACATTTTAAATTCTTATTTAATCTATTTTTTTTTCTCTAGGTTGGAGAAATAACGTTTAATTTCTGGTATCGATTATCAGAAGAGCTCTACCAACGAAACAACCAGGAGCTAACTGATGCTTTTAAACCATATATACAGAACCTAGTACTAGCCTTGTGTCAACATTGTCATATGGATGAAGACCATGTATTTATGCTTTACTTTATTTAGTATACTTGTAGATAAAGTTTGTTAAATCTAGTTCCCTGTTATATGTATATTTTAAATATTCTCTTTTACAAAATATTTTGATAAATAAAGTGGATTTGTCCTAATTAACCAGGATGGTGTACCAGATGAAAGTGGAGACTTTGGAGATTTTAGAGTCAGAGTTTCTGAACTTATAAAAGATGTAGTGTTTATAGCTGGTTCTTCATCGTGTTTTGTGCAAGTATGTAAACATTTTAATTCATATTGTAAGATTTACAATGAGGAGACATTTTCTTGTTGAGAATTATAAATTGCGTACGTTGACGTAGATTTTAACTATTAATATGAATATGATTGAATACATATAAAAGCTTGTTAATGCAACTACTTTTTGCAGATGTTTGAAAGTTTGAAATCCCCCAAGTTTCCATCCTGGTCTGTAGCAGAAGCAGCCCTGTTTGTTATGACTGCAGTAGCCAAAAATATATTACCGTAAGTCGCACATATTTTAATAACAGGTTTTGATGGTGTAAAACAAAGAATTATATTATTATTTGTTTTAATGTAGTGTATTTATTGATGTAATTTTACGTTTTTGTCCATAGTGAAGAGAATGATATAGTCCCACAAGTAGTTCAAGCAATATTAGATATGCCCCCAACAACTCATATAGCAGTCAGGTACACAAGTATACAGCTTCTAGGAGAGCTTTCAGAATGGATTGAAAGCCATGCTCAGTTTCTAGGTTAGATTTCTGCAGATGTTTTTCACTATCACTGCAGTTTATTTTTATAAATATTTTGGTATAGAACTTTTATACTAATTTATGCATATTTTGTATTTAAATGGCAATAGTATATTATTATTTTTTAAATACAATTTTTAAAATTTTATTTCAAAAAGAAATTTTATTCCCAATATTAAAAACTGTATTTAATATGTATTAATGTAAAAAAAAATGTTATATAGATTTGATTCTTCAATACCTTCTTGCTGGCCTGCAACAACCCGAGTTGGCTTCTATAGCTGCCAATGCTTTACAGAGTATAAGTACACAATGTCGAGACCACATGACAAATCATTTTGAAGGACTGATGCACATTGTGAGATCAATGGAAACATTCAATCTGTCCCCTGATGCAGCAATAGGACTGCTCAAAGGTAGCTACGTCTGCTAACTGTACAAATATATTAACTACTGTCTGTTTCATGTTTAAAGTTTTAATTATAGTATTGAAAAATCTTATCACATGATGGTCAGTAGGGCAGATGAAGTAGAATTTATCTGTTTCTGTGACCATGAAAGGTTAGTGTGGTCAGCAAAATGCCAAGCCTCCTTTAAAATCCACTAACATGAGTCAGGTACCCATCAGAGCTGGGTGTATTCCGCGAGGTCTTTCAACTCAAATCTGCTATCTGAACTCAAAATTTTCGGGTTAGCAGACTGGCCGCACCATCCCATATCTCACATTGAGCATGTGTAGAAATTATTTCTATGCTGACAAAAGCTTTTAGACCAAACTTCTATTATTCTCTTGCCTAAATCTGCTGGCTTTGCTGACTAAGGCATGTAACAGTTTTACTTCTGTTTAAACTGAATTAGTAAATTAAATCAGCTCATAATTTTTAGGTTTTATTATTGATGTTTGTGTTTGTCTAAATCTGAAAGCATCTTTTGTTTAATAATTGATTCTATTGATGAATCAATAACTTTCATTACTTCACTTTGTCCCAATGTGTATTTTTTATTTAATTTGAAATTAGTAACAAATGGTTCTTAAAATAAGTTATCTCATAGGTGAAGGTTCATGACAAATTTTTAAAAAATCCATTTAAAAAAAATTTTAGCTGCTAAAGAAATTACAAAAAAAATTGACTACATAGCTTTAACTTTGAATAAAAGACTGAAGCGATGTTTCTTTCTTTCTTTCATTTTTCTGACAACTGTTGCCATGTTTCAGGTACTGCTACAATATTAGGGAGGTTGCCACCTAATAACATTACTGAAGCTTTAAGTCAGCTTTGTGCTTGTCAAATAACTCCACTAGATAGGGTATGCCACTTTACTGCTCTACTCAAGTACTCATTTTAAAACTAGTAACATTAAATTAAAGTAGTTATCCAGACTTACCAGTCATGTATTTATACCACACTTTCATTAAGCCATGGGCTTTTAGAACTTTCCAATGTTGAGTTTTTTATTTTCAATTGAAACTTAATCCTACAGATGCTTTCTCAAGACCTGGGTCCAGTGAAACAGGGTTCCCAAAATGATCCCACTGTTTGGTTGGACAGGCTAGCTGCTATATTCAGGTAAGATGAAGTATTTTTGGTGAAATGAGTTCTACTTTTTTAAAATATAGTTGTATAAGTATTTGAATAATTGTTTTTTGTTACAAAATGAATGTTCCAACAGAGACTTGTTAACTTTGTATTTAGACAAGTTGTCACAGGATGAGCAGTCAAGTTAGTGGATTCTTTTATATTTTCAGACACACAAATCCATCAGTTTCAAATGGTCAAACACATCCATGTCAAGCTGTTATTTTGGAGGTATAATAAATAATGAATAACAAATATTAAGTTATGATGATTATGCATGATGATTTTTTCTTAAGTACTATGATTGATATTAAAACAATGCCTGTATTTAATTTCCATTATTAATTTAATTACATTTTAAGCTGTTATAAAAAGAGTTAAATTTGTGTAGGTCTGGCCGGTACTGTCTAGAGCCTGTGAAAAGTATCAGTCTGATGTGCGCATCATTGAGCGATGCTGTCGATGTATCAGATTTGCTATCCGGTGTTTGGGTAAAAATTCAGCGACCCTCTTGACCCCTTTAGTCACACAGGTTTGTGTACTTAGTGCAACTACTTTGTTGTTTTATTTTAAGTACAAGATCCAGTCCACCATTTAATGAAGACATTTGACTTTTGTATCTGGTCTCTACAGATGGTTGGCCTGTACCAAACCCATCAACACTCGTGTTTCCTCTACCTGGGCAGTATACTGGTGGATGAGTATGGGAAGGAAGCAGGTTGTGTTCCCGGCTTGTTAGATATGTTACAGGTAAATGTATGTGGCTTCTTACATTTCTTTTTTCTTTATCTGTGAAGACACACTCTGCTTGCTTTTAGGTGGCTTGCACTTTATTTGCTAGAAGTAAGTTAATGCTTTGGTTTGTAGCTTGCTGTGCCTTTAACTTCATCAAATATATTGAAAGGTTTCTTTACATTTTTACTCACTAATAGCCAGTGTAAGCAGAAAAATTATACAACAGTTTTAAAACACTTTTTTAAACTCTGAAAGCTAGGACAAAGAATTTTTATTTCTATAGGGTAGATTCTATTGAGGTTTTGTAGTGTTATGTTGTAATATTGCTTAGTAACATATTTGGTTTATTGCTTTAGGTGCACAAACGTATATATTCCTTTTCTTTTTTCTTTAATAGTATTTTTTTAATTGCATTAATTAATTTATATATTAATATATATAATTAATTAATTTATTACCTAATAAATTTTAAAATTTCTAGTGTATTTAACTAGTATTATACTAGTAAACTAAATTTGTGGGTTAGTTGTTTTTTTCCTCATGCATTCTTTTAATTCCATGGTTAAATTCTATTTCTTGATACAGTGTGAATTTATTGTTTCAGGCTTTTTGTGGTCCCACATTTAAGATTCTTGAGGAACACAATGGGTTAAGGAATCACCCTGATACAGTTGATGACTTGTTTAGACTTTGTTTGAGGTTTGTCTGAGTTGGAGTGTCAGTGTTTTAGTTTACTATCATATTTACAAATAGGTTAAATGGAATTGTATTTTAATAGATTGGATTATATGAGTTTGTTAACGATCCAATTAAGTTTTTTAAAACTAATATTTAGCATGTTTTCTCAGTACATTATTTCTGTCTCTCACAGGTTCATCCAAAGAGCACCAGTTCCTTTCCTACAAAGTGCTATGGCAAAGCCTATCATGTGCTGTGCTATAGCTGCCTGCTCCTTGGATCACAAAGATGCTAATGCTTCAGTGATGAAGTTCCTCACTGATATGATCAAGTGTTTTAGGGAAAAAGAAGTAAATGTTAATTTATTTTTTGAGCTTGTCTTGCTTATCCCTTATTAATGTTGATCTGACTTTACTACCTTTGGTTATGTTGAAGTTAGATCTATAACTTCTCCTTTGTTCATCTGACTTTACCTTCTATAATTTCTCCTTCATTAATGTTGATCTTACTTAACATATGTTATTGTTGAAGTTAGATCTAACACATTTTATATTGTCTACAGACAAGAGATGACTTCCCAGCTCGCAGGACTTTGGTAAAGAAACTTCTAGATGACCACGGACAACCTCTGGTCATTGCGCTGGTCAATGCTTGCCTGTTCTGTCTACCAACCTTTATGTCAGCTGATGTCAGTGAAGTGCTTTATGAGCTGATGATTATGGATAGGCCAGTAAGTTTACTAGAAAATTATGTTATATTTGAACTCTTTTTTTTTTTTTTTTTAACAATCCAGTCTTAATAGTAGTTGTAATTATATTATACATTGGATGAACATTATCATAAGATGCAAAGATAACAACTGCCTCATTAAGAATTGTCACTTTCTCCCTGCACTTCAAGGATGATGAGTAGTTTATATTTAAGACTGTATTGTCAGATCATTTCAATAAGATCCTTTGATTTAAGGGTATTGGGAATGTCTTCTCTTCATTGTAACAGTTTTTTTTATCATGATATAACCTGTGCTAACCTGTTATTATAACAGAATATCTCAAAGTTAAATAATTTAAATGTAAGTATATTGTAAGACATGAGAGACTGAGTTATTTTCTCTCAAACCTTGTGCTGCAGACATTCTGTGTATGGCTGGAGCACACACTGAAAGCCTTACCTACAGAGAGCAGTGGGGGTGCTGTCACAGCCACCAAGACACAGCTGGAGGACTTTCACAGAGCTTGTACCAGGTGACTTGTGCTTTCAGATATTACTTTACAGTTGGCGTTTTGTTTTGGTGATTTTTAGAGTTTAGAATACTCTCTGTAAGAAGTGGAAGGGGTAATAATAGAGAGAGAGAAACCTACAATACTCATTCTTGAAGAAACATGCGTGGAATATTTTGTTTTGTTTTTAATTTCTTTTTAATTAATGATAAATAATGTCTCCTCTCAATCAAAGATTGTATTAGAGATTATTTAATAAAATACTAAAAAAGGTTTGATAATAATATAATTATAATAAGCATTTTGTTGTAAATGTTTTTCTGTTGTTTCACAGTGCTGAAGATTTAAAGCAAATGAGCAGTGCAGTGCGGGATTTCTGCCGCCTATACAGATAGTGTTAGCTTTGTTTTTAGACTGTGATATCACTCATTAGCTTATTGATCATTTGTTGGTTTTTTTTTCACACTCTGGGCTGAAGAAAAAATATATGTCACTTCATAATAAAGTCCATGGCATAACTGCTGCATTAGTTGTCCACACACATTACGGAGAGGATGATCTTGTTGTGACAGTTGTTGATGCTGCTGTATTTTTTATCTTTGCTCTACCTCTGTTGCATAGCTATGGCAAACACAGGTGGCGCCCATGAGTAGCCTGGTAGCTATCTATCAGGTGTCCATCAAGTGGTGTGGGTTCCAATCCCAGTTTGTCAGCCTTTGTAGTCTTTCCTATGGTTGTCTAGAGAACAAACATTTGACTTGCAGTAGTTGTATCTTTTTTTAAGAGTTGTATGGGGAACTTGGCATCGAGAACTGGTTAAAGAAGTTGATCCTAAGAAAAATAAGTTGTGAAGAAGGCAGGTTGTTACATAAATGACCCATTGTAAATGGGGATTTTTTTTTTATTAGGTTGGTTCATTCAGGGTTTTCCTATACTATTTTACTTGTACATTTTTTTTGTAAAGTTTTCAACTAATTGGATGCTGAATTGTGTACATGTATGTATGATGTATTTTTGGTTACATGTAATTAAGGATGTGAGACTCATGTGTGTGCTGAAAGAAATCTCTCATCAACAGTGGGGGGGGGGGGGGCAAATGTTACCAAATGATGTGTAACAGGGCTAGATTATTTGACTTATTCTGGAAAAGAAAAATAGTACAGTTTACAATAGGTGACTTCACTGGGGTGAAGGGGGGGGGGGGGGTGTTGAACTTTTAAAAATTGTTATAGTTCTCAATACAATAATGACATGTAGTGGTGTGGGCATGTTGATGTAAACTAATAAACCAAGAGCAGTGAGTCTATAAGTAATGGTCAGTGCAATTGAATTTTTTGTGTGTATTTCTTGTTACATACTAATGTAGAAACTTTGATGTAAACATAATGATTGAAGCTGCAAGCTTTTTTGTAATGTTTCCTTTGGAAGTTTGTGACTCTGAAAAAAATATGCAATTACTAAAACATGTAGTTGATTGAATTACTTCTAGGCTTAAAATCAATATGAATGTATGTCAGATACTGAAGTTTGGTGGCATTTGTGAAAATTTTCACTCATTATTTTACCATCATTTTGAAAGTATGAAAAACTCAATTGATTTTTTTATAGCATTATCATTGCTCAAAATATGGGTCAAATTGTGCATGCCGGCAACATTTTTATTTAGCTTACATTTTAAAAAGTTGATTTTATAAAAATGTATTTGTCAATTGTATATTGCTGATTTTATTATTTAGCTTATTTTTTTATCATTATTATTCCATTTTTTTTAAACACTGGTATTTAAAACAATGCATGTTTGAAATTTAAAAAATAAATCATGAACTATAACATTAGTATTCTGCCTGCTCATTTTAAAAATAGTTTTTTCAGTATTTCAATAGACTTAAGATTAATAAGTTTTCATATGATTATTATGATATAATACCAGCAGTACTTTATCTAACAAGTAGGGGGCTATAGATTTTTGTACTAAATTTTTTTATCAAAATAAAAAATTTCCGCCTGTCCAGATTTTACAATTTTGACGAGATGATTGTACCTATCAAACATAGTACATAATATAAAGTGTTTAAAATAGTTTTGACAGAAACTATGTGATTTCACCTTTTTAAAAAGCTCCATATCATGATTAAAAATGAATTTCTAAACACAGAGCCTGTTACAAGGATTAGAACTACAATTGAATGAAAAGAAAATTGTTTAATTTTGCAAAATTTGGACAGTAGATATTTTAGATGTAACTCAAAAAAGTGTACATATGTACAGTTGTTATTGTGTATAAAAAATTAAATTATTGTCAATGAGAAATTCTTTATTCATGAAAATCTCATTCTGTGTAACAAAGATAGGTTTAAAAAAAATTAAGAAATTTCCTGATAAATTCAGTATTGTTCATGTTGAAAACCATTTGAATAAGCTGCCTTATTTTTAAGTCAAGTGAAATATCAACAGATGTAAATACATTTTTTTTTTCATACATTAGTTTAAAAAAAATTTACAAGTAGGCCCGACCTATATAAAATCACAATTTAAAATGTTTTCAAATTTTTTTTTTCATGAATTTTTTGTGATCACTAGCAGGCTCAAATCAACAGATTCACCCCCGCCGCCCCCTCTTTTTTTTTTTGTTCCTATGTACTTACCTATTATGTATTAGAATAATTTTGGCACATGCCTCTAATTAATGTAATAAATCTTTGCCTCTGTATCCCTGTGTTTTTATCATTTGTTTGTGTGCTGCCCCCATGAGCAAATGTTAGAATTGTCAGATTATTTCTTATGTAAAACAATTTTAAATAAACCGGGAGTGATCTCCCCTAAACTTTCTCGAATATTTCTATATAAAATAACAGGGGATGGGAACTCGGGCTATAGACATGATTTTTAATCCATTTTAAATACTTAAAGTTTTAAAAATAGAATAAAATCTCATAGACAAAAGAATTACACACCGAGTGAACGCTAAATAAAAAAGTGCATAATAGTGCGCAATATTATTAGTACTTTTAAAATTTACATTAGTTTTTTGAGAAATCCGAAGTAGCGTAAATTACTACTTCCGGTCAACGGAAATTACTCAAAATTTAACAGAAGGTAGAGAATTAGATCTTTTACTTACATGTGAAATTTCATTTATCTATCTGAAATAGTACTCAAGTTATAGGCTTTTGAAAAATTCAAAGTAAGAAAAGTACCACTTCCGGTTATCGGAAATCGCTCAAAAGTTGATACGAATCTACGATTTGGATAAAATACTTATATATGAAATTTCATCAATCTAGCTGTAACGGTACTCAAGTTATCGTGTTTACACACGGACAGACAGACAGACATACGGACAAGATTGCAAAATTATGTTTTTCCGTATCAGTGAGGTGTAAAACGTCGAGATTTGTAAAAATCTCGATTTTTTTTTTTGCACGATTACAAGACTTTCTCTATACTTCGTATATACGAGAAAGTAAAAACAACTAAAAGTACACAGTTCATAACACATCATTCTTTGATTTAATGTTTATATATATATATATATATATATATATATATATATATATATATATATATATATATATATATATATATATATATATATATATATAAGGTAAGTAATTGCAGAATGTGCACTGTGTATGTTCATTTTACTGGCTCTCCAGTTCATCTGAACCTGGTTCATTTTGAAGATTATTTAATGAATATTATACTCATGTCAATTTTTTTTTTTAAGTTATTCCCCCGTCCCCCTCCTTATACTTTATCAAACTAGAGAAAAAACAATATTTGAATTCTAAATGTATAAAGCTAAGTTGACAACTGTTTGAATTAATGTAAACAAAATATAGACGTCATGTGTGTGCGATGGTGTTACTTCCCTTGAGTCAAGAGCCACTTCTCAGTCGAATGCTTTTATTTATCTAAAAACAACGCTTTTAAAATGGCGTTTCTACTAATTTGAAATGACCGGTGTCCGTACAAGATAATAAAGAGAAACTTTCATAATAACATAGTGCAGTGGCGGAACTACAGTGATGGCAGAAACAATTGGGGGGGGGGGGGGTGTGGCTATCTTGAGCAGCTGGGTTAGATGGTGGACAGAGTTTCTTCCAGGCATCTCTTGGGGGGGGGGGGGGAGCTCCGCCAGAAGAAAGTTACCGCCCCCCGAACGAAATGGAATTTATATAGAAAATATATACTTTTAACAGTGATACATTGATGGTGGAGTTACGTTGCGACGGCTGACTGGGAAATTACGTCTGTTTTTCTAGTTCCTAATTCATCTAAACCACAGTGAGTCTCGTTTTATCGTAAAATCTACAAGATATTTTAAAAATTAACTAATAAAAAACATAATTTTTCATTTGGTGAAATGAAACCAAATTACTAAAAGCATTATGATTACGTAAATAGTCGATGTAAGTTTTGTTGCAAAATTATTTATTTAATGAAATAAAATTTAAAATGATTTAAATTAGGCTGTTAAAAAAAAGTTTGAAAGACAAAAGAAGGTTTTAAATTGTTTAAAAATATTTTCTATTACTGGAGATTACTAGCAATCAAAGTGTAGTCTAAGCAACGCTCACTACCAGAGGCGTATCCAGGTTTTCGTTGTAGGGGGAGCGAAAAGAGCAAAAAAAAGGCGCCGAATTTTTAACACGTTCTATATACGTGTATTATATATATATATATATATATATATATATATATATATATATATATATATATATATATATATATATATATATATATATATATATATATATATATTACTAGCTGTATGTCATTACTTCGCTATGATGTAAAATTGAAAAAACAAGTAATTAAAAAAAGTCTAGTGACAATTTTAGCGCAATTTCCTTATGTTATCTAAAAATAGCTCTGTCGTAGCGTAAATCAACAGCAGGGTTAGTAAAACCACTGGTTAGTTATTAAAACGTTTTTTATAAAAAAAAATTTCAGTATTTTACATGTTTTATTTACAATAGAGTAACATGACTAAAAACCATTGCGCGCCTAGCTACCGAACGTGATGTCGCAGCCATTGAACGTGATGGCGCAGCTATTGAACGTGATGACGCGTGTGGTGTGGTTGGAAAAACATGCCTACTAATTCGGTCCAAATTTTAATTAATTCAAAAAACATTTTGTGACCGAACGAAAGGATATTTTTGAAAACTTTCTTCGGCAATATTGTTCTAAATTATGGCAGGAATCGATTGGTACATGTTTCAAGTCGCTAAGTGGTCTGGTTGCCGAGATATGGGCCAAAAACTGCATTTTTTCGAGGTTTTTTTTTTGGCTTTTTCGGGAAATCCATGTAAGAAACCCGGAATTTGTATGGCCTATGTTCATCCTCGTAACTTGCTTAACATAATTGCTTTTGTAACTAGTCATCGATATTGCTTCGTTGAGGAGGAGATACGACTTAAAGCCCGGACACACATTCATACATCCATACATTCATTCATTCATCCATCCATTCCCAGAAATGACGAGTTAATAAACGCAATTCTCCAGAATGGAAATTGCGCTAAAAATTGTATCAATCTAAACAAAAGAAAAATATTCACACACTACAACCAAAAACAATGAACGTAACACAATCTGTTTTGTAATTCTTGTAAAAAAAATTTCTTACATAATAATTCCTGGGAAATTATTTAAGACAAGTGAAATATGGGAAATAATCACTCTCTTAATATAAATATGTATATATCTACACATTTAATTACAAATGTCAAAACAACTTTATTCACCACTGTCCGGTCACTTTAGGTCAATTATCCAACCCAGTGTATACCTAGGTGTGACATTAATGTCGCTCTACACAATTGTGGTGGTGAGGTGTGGGGGGGGGGGGGGAGATAACCAACTCAGAGTGAACATAGCGTAAGTTTTTAGATGACTGTTCTAAATATACATATATATTACACAAATATATATTACACAAATATATATTACAGAAATAGATTTAAATAAGTAGCAGTGGTATTATGACAATATTTGTTTTTACAGAGGGGTCCATGGTCCATGAAGGAGGGGGGTTGTAACTGTTTCATAAAATTTGTAATCGTAATCACTATCGCCCCACCACTACGCAGTTTGCTCATAAGTAAATTTAAATAGAGGTGCCACATCAGTTGTATTTGTTTATGTATTGTAATTTTAAAAAAATTAATCACACGATTCAAACTGTATATATAAAGTAATTTTGTGTGAAGTTTTATGTATAACATTTTCTAATTCAATTATTCGTAAGCAAATACATTATACACTTGCATTAAACTTAACACCCCTCTTGCCAAGTGGTACAACCCGTAGAGGTTTTTTAAACATTAAATGCATCGTAATGGTTATTTTTAGAATTGCAAACTGATGCAGCTGTTAATACGTGTTGTAAACGTAGACACTACTAGACAAGTACAATAATGCTTAATGGCTGCATGAAAAGAAATCTTGTGATTTACATAGATGTGCCGACCAAAAATATTTTTTTTAACAAATATAATTGTTTAAAACTTTGAGTTTTAAAAGTTTCCTAAAAGGCGCCACTTTGCTGAAAATGGCCAGAGGGGGAGCGGCCGCTCCCCCTGCTCCCCCCCTGCGTACGCTACTGCTCACTACAATACAGTTTATTTAACAACTAAAATGTGTGACCCCCCCCCCCCCCCCTCACATCATCCAACCTTAAATAAGAAACATTAATTTTATAAATATTAAATAAAAAATTAAATACAAACACAGCATGTCTTTACTGAATGTTTTAAAATATGTATGCACAAAATGTGCAGCGGAAATACGCACAAAGAAAACAACTCAAACAGAGACACGTACACATAGGTATGCGAACACACCAAAAACTCTGCACCGCACATTGAAAAAAAAAACCCACGCATTTGGAAATTTGACGTGGGCCTGTCTTTATACAGCGTGATATTTTTCAATGTTTTGTTTTACCTGACATTGTTTTTTGCAGCTCCACTTCCACCCATTAACACTACACACAGCATCACACTAACACATATACTCGTTTCCTGGCCATAAACTACCAGTGAAGACTATAAGAACGGCGTGGTTGGATAGTAGATCTAACGACGGCTAACTCGAAAGTCTGGAGTTCGTATCCGGAGTTTGGGTGTGTAGGGCGTCTCTGAGTCTACCCAGCTCTGATAGGTACCTGACTCACGTTAGGGACACTAAGGCAACTGGGCATAGTGCTGACTATACTATCCCCCAGTATACCGAGTTCATTGAAAAGATGAGCTACATGTCATCTACTCCATGTGTCCCTAGCACAAACAGGAAACGATGATGATGTTGAAGAAGTCTTCCTAAATTAATATTTAAATTTGCGTTGTTGCCTTGTTACTTTCTCGTATATACGAAGTATAGAGAAAGTATTGTAATCGTGCAAAAAAAAAAAATCGAGATTTTTACAGATCTCGACGTTTTTACACCTCACTGATACGGAAAAACATAATTTTGCAATCTTGTCCGTATGTCTGTGTGTGTGCGTGTGTGTGTGTCTGTCTGTCTGTGTGTCCGTGTGTAAACACGATAACTTGAGTACCGTTACAGCTAGGTTAATGAAATTTCATATATAAGTATTATATCAAAATCGTAGATCCGTATCAACTTTTGAGCGATTTCCGATAACCGGAAGTGGTACTTTTCCTACTTTGAATTTTTCAAAAGTCTATAACTTGAGTACTATTTCAGATAGATAAATGAAATTTCACATGTAAGTAAAAGATCTAATTCTCTACCTTCTGTTAAATTTTGAGTAATTTCCGTTGACTGGAAGTAGTAATTTACGCTACTTCGGATTTCTCAAAAAACTAATGTAAATTTTAAAAGTACTAATAATATTGCGCACTATTATGCGCTTTTTTATTGGGCGTTCACTTGGTGTGCAATTCTTTTGTCTACGAGATTTTATTCTATTTTTAAAACTTTAAGTATTTAAAATGGATTAAAAATCTTGTCTATAGCCCGAGTTCCCATCCCCTGTTATTTTATATAAGAATATTCGAGAAAGTTTAGGGGAGATCACTCCCGGTTTATGTTAAATTACGTTTTAATAATTTCAAAATTTCAGCAACTTGAGAAAAGTGACGGGTTGTCTATGTGCTATTTTTGAAACGATATTAGAATCGGAAAGTGCTTATATCCGCCAACGCTATTTTTGTTTCTACATTTTATTACACGCCGAATAGGAAAACACAAGGAATTACAATTACAATGAGGAGATAAAATCAGTCTGTTTCTCCTACAACACATACTAGATTTGGTTATATTTTATATGCTTTTAATTTTACAATTACTGAAATGGAACGATGCTATTTTTACCTTCGGCTCAGTGGTAAAACTAAAAATAAAAAATAATTCCAAGACCCTCCCATTGACTATGACAATATCCTTTTTTGAATAACAATATCCCATTGACTATAATATCCCATTGACTATAATAATATCCCATTGATTATAACAATATCCCATTTTCTGTAACACTATAACGTTTACTGTAACACTATCGTATTTACTTTACATTAAATTTGTTAAGTTCACTTAGCAAATACTTGGAGGTTTATTGTCGCCAAAATAAAGCTCTGAACTTGGAGTTGTATCTATAATAAATAAAAGTATTCCCACAAGAATACAACATCTGAAACGCGTCTTTGGTCACGTCCATGCACTCGTACAATCTGCCATACTTCCCATCTAAAGAAAACTCCGGGAAGATGAGTTTGGCTGTGTTGAAATAAACCTTGGGTACGCTGGCAACGATGAAGAGTACAGAAAGGACAAACATCTGTTGGATAATCTGGAGCTCTTTTCCGCTGAGAGTTACACCAGTCTGGACGAGAATTTTTCCTGTGTGGTCTACACTGTGGTGCTTGGGGAGGATCCTTAGAGCTGGAACCACTCGGGATGTGGTGTGTTTTTGGCGAAACTTCAAGGCCGACTTGAGGAATTTTCTCATCGTCAGAGCACACACGATTAGCACAAGTTGCACGGCAAAAGGAAGTGCGGTGTCTCGAACTGGCCAAATGACGTACGTGGCCCATTTCCTGTTGGGGGAAATCCAAAATGTCGGTCTGGTCACGTTTAGCCTGGCGTCGTGTAGTGGGATTATCCCCATCCACGACAGTACGGGGATGCTGGTTGTGACACAGAATAATGCTGAAGTTGTTATAAAAACAACGGCCGTTTTTCTGGTTCCTAATTCTCTTCTAAACCACATCGGCCTGGCTACGCTTAGACAACGGGCTATTGATAAAAATGTAATTGTCAAGACGGTGTTCGCGAAAAAACCGCTTGCTGTATTGATAAAATATTTGTTAACACCGTACGGGTCCACGGGGAAGTAAACGGCGAAATGGGATAGCAGCTCGATGCTTAGAAATATGTAAGAGACGGAGGCGGCGGTGATGGAGATGAGGTATAAGAGATCTGAGACAGAGAGAAACAGGAAGGACAAGGTCACTCCGTCTTTTAGTCCCATGGCCACGAAGGTGCGGATAGTCAGAGAACTTCCTATAATGCCAAGAAAGGAAACGACCCCACGACAGATGCACAGCACTGTTACTTCAAAGGAAAAGTTGTCATGCATTGAAATTTTGATGGACGAAACATTCGCTTTGAAAGTGTCTTCGACCATCGCGCTCTTGTTGACTGGTCAATTCGTATATGTGTATATTTTGGAAGAAAAATGGTCAAGATTTTCTTTTGATTGTGGAGACCAACTTCCTTTTTTTCAAACGTTACGTTTTACTTTATGAATTCTTCATCGGGAATGAATCGTTGTATAATAGTTTAGTCACGTCAAATAAATTTTAAAATTATAAAAAATTAGTGTCCATTATTTGATCTTTTTTTACAACACAGAACGGCGCAAAATATCTAATTAACTGGAGAAATCACTGGGCCATTTAAGTTACGCTTTTTTAGACGCGCTTTACCGTTATAATAACATAATTACAAATCTAGTTGTGTTGTTGCCTGGTAGAAATATAATTAGGCTACTTTATTACCAATTTATAATCCGCTTAAAATCTAAAATCCATATTTGTTAATGATGCACACTTTAACACTTTATCAAAACAATTTCTTTAAAAACTGCAAATTGTTATTTGACATCTTCAAATTGTTAAATTCATAGAATGACAATTGTTTTGTAATAATAATTTTTTTTTAATCTGATGAGAGCCGTCGCAGATTGAGGTTTTAAAATCGATGTTTGCTACTTGTCACTTAATTAAGCTTGGCTTATTTTCTTTCCGTGATGTAGTTTGCAGCAGTAAAGAAAACACTTTAATTTGAGATAACACCAAGAACAATAACTCTCACCTAGCAAGATGGGCAACGTTGCTGAGATTGTTACAACTACTATTGAATTATGGTTGCATTCTCTAGCTTTATTGTCGTCTATTTTAACTACTGAATATTTCTGTTGTCTATTTTCTTGTTTAAAACAGATAATTCTTGTCTTTACAATAACATTTATTCCAATGTTTAATTTCATCCAAATGTTTGAAATCATGTTTGTAAGACTAATGCACATTAGATGTTATGTTTTTATTTCTACATCAAAGTAATTTTTTTATTAATCTCAACAAAATTTCAAAATCAACATTTTGAAATTAAACTTGCATTTAAATTATTATAATTTATTTACTGGGTTCGTTGTTCATTCTTTCATAACAGTGTTTGTTAATTTGTTTACTTTTTATGTAATATCAGCCACAAATATGTCTATTATTATCTAGTTAAATTTCCATGTTTTTTTACTACGCACACAAATGACATCTAAACACAGGATCGATAATCTCTAAACGACCTCACTGACATGTTATTCACCAAGTAGGCTACTCACGATACGGATGTTGATTGTGCGGATATTTTGAAAATCTGTTTAAAGACAAAATTCTAGGCTACAGAATAAATACATTTGCTCTCTTATATAAGAATGGGGTAAAATAATAATTAGGGATAGAACACATTTAATGATTTAAACGTTGCCAATTTTTCGTTAGCCAAGCATACACCACAGTGGAGTGTCTAGAGGAGGAGGGTGAGAATCTACCGTTTGATCGGAAAGAGCGGAGGCGGCAGATTCTAGCGATTGGTCAGATTGTGGGGGGGGGGGGGGGGGGGGAGGGGGAGTAGAACCTAGCGATTGATCAGATTGTTGGGGGGGGGGGGGGATTAAAACTAGCGATTAGTCAGATTGAAACCTGACACCTCTGTCCCCTCATGGACGTTTTTCTACCCCAAGTCTGGATGATGAAGTTTAATGGTCAGATTGTGGTGAGTTAAAATTCAATGGTGTAGAAATCATTTGCATCTTAGCTATATAGATCTAGTTGCTTTTGTAGAAATTTCGTAATGTATGGAGGTGGATTTTATGCTATCATAAAGGTAACTATATAACAGTTTAATCCATATCTCATAGTCTTTCAAAGGCGTAGCTGTGGAGGGGAAAAAATTAAAATCTCATTTTAATTTTTATTTATTTTTTAATTAAAAAAAAAAATCTCATTTTAAGCTGCAGTTTTGAATCTAATATATAAAGCTCAATTCTGTATGTAAAATCGTTGACACACTTCCATGGATTTAAGTGTTCGACTATTATCGTGCTCTTAGTCTAAATTTATGAGTTAAAAAATTACTATTGAAAGTGTTGGGAAATAATTTTCATTTTTCAAACTGATAGTAATAATTGTCGGCATGTTCATTAAACATAATTTTTAAAAAATAACAAAAATTCTAATTATGTCTGAAAATTATTTATATTTAGTCCTTTAGCACTTACTTCCCTTTGATAAATTAGGAAAACACAATTACTTCCCTTTATAAAACATTGCATTAGTGGAAAAGAATTTACTTTTTATTACTTTGTTTTGGTGTTGGGAAAAAAAATAATTACATAATTAGCGGAGATTGATCAAGTGCAAATGTTGTAGGTATTTTACGAATAAGCTTCGAGTATTATAATTGTTCATTTGGTTTGGTTTGGCACCTACGTTCGTTTAAGTGAGTGCAAAAGACTATGAATAAGTTGGGGTACTGTAGTTTATTATTAAGCTGAAACAGGCGATTCTGCCTCGGGCTAGACTGTGAGCACTTTGCGTTTATGTTCGCGTTAGTGTTTTCTTTGTGTTTAGGTTGGGTTTGCGTTAGTGGTTGCGTTTTGATTTGGTTCGTTTTTGTTCTTTCTTTTTTCGTTTTCGTTTTTTGTTTTTTTTCTTTGGGTTTGTATTTGTGTTTGTGGTTGGTTTTGCGTTTGCGTTTGGATTTGGGTTGTTTTCGTTTGCTTTTTCGTTTGTGTTTTTTTCTTTTGGTTTGTGTTTGTGGTTGGTTTTGCGTTTGGATTTGGTTTGTTTTTGTTTGCTTTTTCGTTTGTTTTTTTCTTTGTGTTCGTATTGGTGTTTGTGGTTGTGGTTGGGTTTGTTGTTAGGTTTTTGTTTTCGTTTGCTTTTTTGTTTGTTTTTTCTTTGTGTTTGTATTGGTGTTTGTGATTGTGGTTGGGTTTGTTGTTAGGTTTTTGTTTTCGTTTGTATTTGTAATTGTGTTAGCGTTATGTTTGCGTTTTGTTGTTTTGGTTAGTTGTGGTTTGGGTGGGCAATGCCGGGTTTATGATGATTACTAAACACACAGATAACGGTCTTTAACAGAAAGGTTTTTCACAGAAGCCAGAGCAGGGCCTGGCCGGAACGGCTAGTTATAAATAAAGTTAAGAAATTCAATGGCTACAAGCCTTTACATACTGATTTTCTACCTTGATTGCGTAAATGTAAAAATAATACCCTTCGGCCAAAATTTTAAGAGCTAAGAAATTTATGATACGGCTTTCTATATTTAAAATTATCTAATAAACCTGTTTATTGTATTGTATCAAATAGAGTCCTTTCATATGACGTCACGTCCGTTCGTGATACCTACGCCCGCCGCCACAGTGGTGTACATCAGACGTAAACACAATCAGCTGTTCGCCAGCGCTGGACATGTTCACCAACGCTGGACGCGTTCACTGTATGTAAAGAACCGCACCCGCGGAAAAAGAAAAATACGTTAAAAAACTTGAACTCTTAGGAATTGAAGATCCTTATACTGTTATTGACAGTTTCGTATAAATAAATATGTGGACAAAATTTCTAAATAAAAATACTGTTAGTAATACTGTTTGCGTTTAGAGTTAAAGTAGCCGAATCTGATCAAATGCAGTTCTCGATACTTTGTTTCAGGTAAGGACAGTAAAATAATAAACTTCATTTTAATTATAAAAGATAACTATTAATAATTAATAAAACAAATATGCTCGACCTTCACAAATACTAATATATAGTAAAAGACAAAGTCAAAAGTAATAGGCTAATAAGAATAATAAGATCTAATAGTAGGCCTAATACCTGGCTCCGCTGGGTAGACATAGAATCTAGAATCTACTTCTTTACTTAAATTTAATTACTTTAGATCTACATTCGATTCAAAATACACCCATAATAAATCAAAAGTAGTCATAATAGGCCTAATAAAGCATTTAATTGTCTCTAAGATCTAAAATCTCGCTCTATTAGTATTATCTAATCATTTTTTTAGCAAACGAAATTTTCTGAAATTGAAATAGATTATATGACTAGACTTAGATCTAGAATCTGCTACTTAAATTAAATTGTAAAAACTTTATACAAGCATGTAGTTGATATTATTGTAGTAGAAGGCTTTAATAAATTACTAAGGCCTAACTACTTTGTTGTCTTTTTACAGCAATATGTATCTGATACTGGACTGAGTTTAATTAAATTCAAATTCATATCTAGTAATTGGTCTACTAAGTTTTTGTAGCCTAGTAGTACAATCTAGATCATACCAGCCAACAACAAATAACCACATTATTATTATTTGGTTAATGATTAGGCTAATTTTTTTTTTAAATCCACTGTTTATAAAAGAAACAAATCAAGCTAGAAACATTATAAGTGAGATGGTTTAGAATAATAACAATGGACCCAGTCTACAATTGATACAATTGCAGGTCTACATAGGGCCTACAGTCTAGTAGTTTACAGTAGGCACCTAGTGTGTAGCTAGTATACTAGTGTGTAGCTGTCCAGAGTTAAGATTCTTAATGCCTTAATGCTTTCCCCTGATAAGCCGTGTGTGCTATAAATGACATAACATGACACCGAGGTGAGAAGCGTTGAGGGGAGAGCAGTGGGACTTTCCCTTTTGTTCTCCCTGCTGGGCCCTGAGGGTCAAAATTATATAAGAAATACTATCTCTGTGGGGCTGGGTATCACGGAGGTGAGACATTTTCAGGGGAGGGCAGGGCAGACTCCTCTTTGGTTTTATTGTGGGCTAGATACAGGTGGGGGCAGCCATCGTGAGGGTTGAACGTCAGTATTAATGTGTCTGATCACTTCCCTGCTGGATTATAAGGGTCTTACATTGTATAACATGCTACCCAGATTGGTTATTCCATGGATTATATTAGCCGTTGTAGTGTGGGTTTTGTAGGAGTTAAGTGGTCTCACGTTTGCTACAGTAGATAACCTCTAATATATTACTGCATTTGATCAGATTCGTCTACTTAAACTCTAAACGCAAACGGTATTACTAACAGTATTTTTATTTAGAAATTTCGGCCACATATTTATATTATCCACGAAACTGTCAATAACTGTATAAGGATCTTCAATTCCTAAGAGTTCAAGTTTTTTAACGTATTTTTCCTTTTCCGCGGTCGCGATTCTTTACATGCGGTGAACACGTCCAGCTCTGGTGAACACGTCCAGCGCTGGCGAACAGCTGATTGTGTTTACGTCTGATGTACACCACTGTGGCGGCGGGCGTAGGTATCACGTGATTTAGGTCACGTGTTTGCAAGGACTCTATAGAACATTTTTTTGTTGTTGTTTTTTTTAATATCACGTCTTAATCAATTAAGTCGGTTGTGTGTCTTGACCTCCGTCGAACCCTTGAGACTGGCTCACCGAACCTTTGGGTTAAGTATCAACTTTTCAGTCATTTCCGATATCTACACATTTGATATAATACTTATATATGAAATTTTATCAACCTAGCTGTAACGTTACTCAAGTTATCGTGTTTACAGACACACACACATACACATAGACATACTGACAAGATTACAAAACTATGTTTTTCCGACCCAGGGAGGTGTAAAACGTCGAGATTTGCAAAAAATACCGATTTTTTTGCACGATTACAATACTTTATCTATACTTTGTATACGAAAAAGTAATAAGGGGATTCCTTCCAACACGAAAATTAAAAACGAAGAAGAAGAAGATTAAACAACTATGTTGACAGAGTTCAGACAAGATTTTGGAAAAAAATATAACGATGTTTTAAGAAAAATTCAACTGCAATTTTGAGGGGTGGGGGAATGGGGTGTACGCTACGGTGTGACGTCATTTTAGGGGATGTCTGACTTTTTGTGACTATGTGTGACGGACGGGAGGAGGAGGTAAAAATCTTGAAATAAAAGCGTGACGTCATTTATGGATGATCCCCTTAAGAAAAAAAAATTTGCGTTTATATATACTAGAAGGATGAAGTGCCTCTTCCCCCCCCCCCTGTAACCAGTTGGGCATGTTCTGTCTGGGTCGTTATGCACAGAAATATACTTTTTTTTTGTTTTGTGGTTGGGAGCAGAAATGTCACAATGTTTTTTTGTTGTTGTTTTTTTTTAGTCTCAACTTGTTCTATAGACCCACAACATGTCTTTTGTAACCAGTGTAAGTCAGTTTATGATTATCGCTATGGTAGCGAGAACATAAGCATTGGCGTCATTAGGATGAGGTCCGAACCCCCCCCCCCCCCCTGCTTCGTGATGTTACTGAACATAAGCTTCCAGCACGATAGATGGCTGAACGTGTACTGTATAACTAACATCAGATGTCGTAAAAAGTTATATTCAGCCCTTTTGAATTTTAAAATAATACAACAGTTTACACACAAACTGACAATAAATACTAATACAATACAACTACTGTGGTGAGACGACCTACGATCTCGTGTCCGGTACCGAACTCGTGACTTTCGGTTTTGCTATGACCATGCCCTTGACCCCCCCCCCCCCCCATCTGGTTTGCCACTGAAAATCCATTGAAACACAAGTTCTTTGTGTGTTTTTTATGGCCTAACAGGTTCCCTTCTAAAGCTATGTTATTGGTTGTACAGAACCCAACACCTTTTCTTCACCTCCCAGGTTTGATAAAGAGCAGCTCAAAAGTTCAAAGGAGGTTGTTTGATAAACAGCCGCTCAGAAGTTAAATGGTTGTTTGATAAACAGCTGCTCAGAAGTTAAATGGTTGTTTGATAAACAGCTGCTCAGAAGTTGAATGGTTGTTTGATAAACAGCCGCTCAGAAGTTAAATGGTTTGATAAACAGCCGCTCAGAAGTTAAATGGTTGTTTGATAAACAGCCGCTCAGAAGTTGAATGGTTGTTTGATAAACAGCCGCTCAGAAGTTAAATGGTTGTTTGATAAACAGCCGCTCAGAAGTTAAATGGTTGTTTGATAAACAGCCACTCAAAAGTTGAATGGTTGATAAACAGCCTTAATAGTAAAATGTTTGTTTGGTAAACAGCCACTCAAAAGCAGTTATAAATGTGAAGCTTAAGTTCTCTACGAGCAAAATGTTAATGTGAAGTTACAAGTCATCTATGATCTATGGGAAACATAGTACATTAAAAATGTTTGAAATAATCATGACCCAAATTCTTCAGCACTCACCAAAACTGAACACAACTTTGAATAACTACTTACAAAAACCAACACCAAAAGCGAGTGACTTTTAAAATTATTATAAGTTTAGTTGTTTTTTTTTTCACACAAGATATACAAATGTTGTAAAAGTGGTAAAAAGAAATATTTTTAAAAATAAATACAGTACAAAGTAGAGGATAACAGACAACATCTAAGGAAGTTGAAGTTTTCTTAGCTTTACCACAAGCATTTTCTTTATAATATCACAACTTTTTTCCATCTAACAAAACTTCTGCCATTACTACATCACTTTATAAGTCTCAAACTATTTTTTGCATATCTACTTTGAAGAAAAAAAAACATGACACTAAAATAACTATGTCCTGTGATAAACAATGTGTCACAAATTTACATGAAGACAGTCTCGGGTGTAGAAAGCTGTAGACTGTACACTAATGGCACACTAGCAACACTAGTTGTACAAATAAATACAACAACAATTGTATGTATAGCATTCATAAATTAAATATTTTCAATTTTTTTTTATCCTATGCCCAGCAGAAGTGTAAATATAGAATTTCAATATAGAAAAATTATTTTGTCAGGTACAAGTATTAATAAAAAAACCACACACACACAATCAAAAACAAAAGAACTGCAATCAACAATTAGCTTATCAATAAAAACATATATTCAAAAGCTTATATTAGTTTCGTTAATATCATTGTTGTTTGTATAAACCCAACTATGGGAAACCGGGAAATATCAAAATTTTAAAAGCTGATTATATCAATTTCAATATCTGTTTAAAATTAATCATGAACCTTAAAAATGTGGTTTCATTCAAACAAAAACAACAACCTATTTTCCTTTATTATTACATGTCATAATGTTTTAGTTAACAGAAATGCTGACTCAGAATAAAACAAGCGACAGAAAAATCAAAAAGATTTAAAAATTTGAAGGCAAACTATTCTCTGTGGTTATTATGACTTCTTGAGCTCATCTGTAAAACATCCACATTTCATCTAAGCCAGGGGTCTCCAAACTTTTCAGTCCGAGGGCCGCATTAACTATCAAATTTCAGTTTGGAAGCCAGTTTCTTCCAGGCATGTCTTTGATTTTTCTGGGCAAAGATCCTCAGCCATCACCAACAAACGTTTTTTTCTGTGCACAAAAAGATCTCCGCGGGCCGGATGAGAGCACATTGCGGGCCGCAGTTTGGAGACCCCTGATCTAAGCTAAGCCCTAACTCATAGCCCCACCCCCCTCCACCACAACTTATTGTTCTGCAAAAATGTTTCCATCCACACAAAGCCTAAAAAAGACATTATTTACAACTCATTTTCTGAATGTAGCAAGGTAAAAAAACAAAAAAGACTTGTTAAAAAAACCTGTAGGAAACCATAACCTGCTTTAAAAATGTAGGCAATTAAAACATTGTTCATGTTCATCTTTCAACAAATGTAAGAAAAATGAATTATCAATATCAGCAAATAATTGCACAGTCAAATAAAAATAGCCAATACAATTGAGTATGTGTTTTAAAAATAAACTTGAAAAAAAAAGATCATTCACATGATTGAAGAAAAAAATGTTCAATCACTAACACTGTCACAGATATGAAATTTTGTCAATAAAAATAGTGAACAAGAGTTACTTAGTTGAGTAGCTTCCCATCTTTGGGTGAAAATAATAACTCTTTACACATGAAACGTTTGTATAGGAGATTCTGTTTAAAGTATAGGTGCATTAAGATATTAATTAAGTCAATACGTAAAATTGTGAAAATGTTTTTTAAAAAAAAGAACTATTAATTTTAAAAGTACTTCAGACAAAAATTCAGGAAAAAATTCATTTAGCTTATGTGATCTTGTGAAAAAAATGTAAGCAAAAAACCAAAATGTCAAATCATACTGTACAGTTAATAAAACAAAATTGTGCAAATATAAAAAAAACCACTAGTGTTAGATATTAGCAATGCTGTTATGGATTCATTCAAACTCCATACACTAAAATCTACGGCTAATAATACATAGAACAGAATCACTTGCATCAATGCATTCTTTGAATTTAAACAAATACATTATCCATAAAAAAATATTTTAAAAACGTACTTTCCACACCAGATGTTGAGTCATAATGAAATGAAAAATAAAGTTTGAATTGATATGGTTATGATGCTATGGCTAATAGAAAAAAGCATTATATTTAGATCACATTTTCTAGTTTAAAATTTAAATTAAACCTTTTAAAAATTGTGCATATGACTTGCATTTCACAACAATTGTTGAAGTTATATAGCATTTAAACATAACTCTAACAAACATTATAATGGAAGGCATTCTTAACATTTTTTTTTGTTCTAGCATTTACAGAAGATATTAGAAGATCTTGCACTAGTATAAAATATACTACAGAAATTAAACAAACAGTAAAAAAACTGGGAGGAGAAGGCTTTAAAAAATCACAATAGGGGAATTCAATGAGGATATGATAAAATTATCTTTTCAAATATTGTTTGTAAATATCAGCTTTCTTTTAAAGTATAAAAATGTCTAGAAATAAGTTTCTGTATTATTGTATAGATAAAGCACCTGTGAGAAAAATATCCAAAAATATTTGTATGATAAGATGATCTGGAACTAAATGTACGTTGTGTCTGCTCGCCTGTCTGGTTTTCTCGAATACATCTCCACATCATCACTGTGATGAGGGGAGTAATGCTCCTCCCCATCCGTGTCCTCCGGGGTTGTCAAAATGTCTTCCCCGTGGGCCCTCTTGAGCTCATTTTTCAAGACGATCTCATTGGTGATGTAAGCCTCTCTGTGGATCTGTTCCTTCAGCAGGACTGGTACATCTGGGATCAGCCAGGACATCAGACTTGTGATCACCACAACCACATTCTATCAAATCAGAAAAAAGTAGGTCAAAATATGGAACAAAGACAAATTAATTAAGACAATTATTACCAAATACATTTTAAAATATATTTCTAGTAATTAACTTAAATTTTTGAAGATTAAACTGGACAAAAAAATGTGTATTTCAAACAAATAAAATGTAACTGAAATAAATTAATTTCTAGGTCTAGGATAAATTTTAGCATTGATTTAACTAAAGTTAAATACCTCTGTGTAATAAATGTATTAAAAAATAAGAATAAGCCAAACCTCAAAGACAACAACAAAAGCAAGCCTTGCTGCTAAAACATGCCAGAAGACAGTAGACCTGCGATATTCTGTATCCTCCCACGGAGGATTACGGAAGTCTTTAAATCTATCGAATACATTATTTACAATAATAAATACATAGAAATAAAATAACTTACTTAGTGAACACCTGGATGTGAAGTAAAAACAAAATATTCTCTTTCTGACGGCTTTCATACTAGATATTCATTGTAGTTGATTCTTTTTATTTTGTATATTACTTTCACCAATTTATATTTTGTCATCATAAAACATTAAAATATTAGCTGTGTTCAGTTAAACTGTTACTAAAATATCTAAATAATAAAATAATAGTAATACAATTTCTCTATTTTGTGACCTCATCACAAAACAAAACTACAGCTTTATTTCTGGTCAGGAAATCATTTTAATCATTTCAATAGTAAGAAAAATTCAACGCCAATAGCAACACATTATTTGACATAGTGAAAACGTACTGACTGTCAAAACAATAAAACCTGGTGATTTAATAATGTGAGACTTTGGTTGTCACACAAAAAATGTCACAAAATGTTAGGAAATCTAGTTTTTATAGGACCAGCGTGTCATGGCATAGAACCAACTCTAAGTACCTGCAAATGTTCACGACTCCATGAGTCAAATCCTTTGGTCTATCCTCCACAGCAAAGTCTGAGGTGTTAAAATATGCCATGGTGAAGTTGACATAGCCACTCAAAGTTCCATCTTCACTGTAGCGTGACGTGTAGACCAGGCGCGGGATAAACTCAGATGTCAGCGCTATGATAAAGGCCTACAGATCCAGTAATACAAAACTGTTTATAGGTCTGTATTTACTGTTTGAATATCTCACCATGAAATACTTTTTAAACTTAACAATTAACAGAGTCGTTCATAAATCTGTATTCACTGTCTGCAATGTTTCCACAATGATACTTAATAAAAAATCCTTAGTTCTGGTTAAAACATCATAAATAAAGTTACAAGTAGCTTTTGGATAAATTACTGTAAAAAAAAAAGCATCCCAGTTACAAGTAGCTTTTAGATAAATTACTGTAAAAAAAGTATCCAAGTTAAACTTACATTTGAGATAATAGCAATCCTGGAGATACCATAGAGAACACTGTACCATATACCTATTAGAAGAAAACAATTTTAACAATCATTTAAATACAATAAATTAAGTTATTTTTCAAACTCATTATATTTAATTATCCATCTTTAAATACTCTAATAATAAAATTTATAGACTTAAGGTCCTTAAATAAAACAATTTCTGCTATGAATATAATTTATTAAAGCAGAATCCATGAACAAGGGGCTAAGAAAAACATGTCTTACCAATATTAGCAGACTTTTCAGCTAGGGGCCGCCTCAAGTGTGTAGTGAACTTGTTGGCATCTACCCTGATCTCAATTATGTTGTTGATTAGGGCAAACAGGGGAGCCAGTGGGAAGGCAGCACAGAATATTGTCAGGAACCCAAACTGTAGGGCTGAGAGAAGAAATATCACATTGTGACACACTTGCTGATGTTTTTAAAAACATATTTTACTAAAACACACATTACGTACAATATTAACAATATATTTTCAATGATAAAACTGTAGCTTAATCAACTTAATGATTATTTGATTAGTTAACCTAGAAATACAAACTCTACTTGCCCATTTCCAGATACTCATAGAAGAGTGACATGGACTCAGCAGGGGCCAAGATGTAGTCTTTCTCCCAGGCTGTTTTGGCCAGCTTTTGTTCTCTGGTTTCTTTTGACAGTTTCCTCTTGATCAGATTTATTACCTTCCTGAAATGTTTCAATGTTAGACAAAGAAAAATTTTTTAGTCAACAAATTAAAGCTGCCCATCATTAAAATTATTTTAGAACCACCCAGCCCCCCCCCCCCCCCCCCCCCCCCAAACCCACATTAGGCAGATCATCACAGAAATCCAAACCACTAGATCTATTATCAAAACATCACGTACATCCAGCAATAATTTTTCTTAACATTTTTTTTTCCAGATTGAGTTTTTTGAAACAAGTTGCACATCATTAAAACAGAACCACCTCCCCATAAATGAACATTAAAATATTAAGAAGATAATGTGTGCCTTTTATGGTTTCTAGGCAAACAAATTCTACAAGAATTCATGTGGTTACAACTAGAGATTTCTCAACAGACAAACATATGATACAGCTATAAAACTTACGGGACAACAATTTCTATCAAGTTGTTTTGGATAAGTTGTTTTCCCACCATGATGATGGCCAGTTGTATACAAAGCTCAATCAGACAGCCACCAGCCTCACACTTGAAACAAGATTGTTACAAGGTTTTGATAATTAAATGTATCTCTCAGTGGTAATTACTTCTTGTATAATACTAAGGCCTAAAAAGTTTTTTATCATAAATCTATTAATTTTTAACATCACTAATAATCTCCGCTTAGCTAATTTACCTCTTCCTGCCGACCTCCAAATATTGTCCTATATTTTCCTGGTCTGCCGACAAATCTATGTTAAAAAGATAAATAAGTTTAGTACTACAAATAGGAACAAAACATTACATAAAAATACTTTTCAGATTGATTTATATGGAATCTGGAAAGCTCCTAAGACAATCCTGATTCAAGTAAAATATCACTTTTGTTTAACATAATTCAGAAACTCATTTCATCCTAATTTCTTATCTAAATTTAAATGTTACTATTAGAGTCTTAAAAAGTGAATGTAATATCTTCACTTACTGTCCTTTGAAAAAGGCAATGTAAAAGATGGAGCAAAAGTAGTTAACAAACTGCAGGGCAAACAGCTTGATGGTGATGCTGTTGTCATATTCACTCTGAGTCCTCAGGCATTCCCAGTCTGTTAGCCAGAAGGCCAAGTAGCCATAAACCTTAAGGAAGAGAAAGTCAATCAATAGCTCAATGCTGGTCTAGTCTATGATCATGTGTTTTTATGTAAACAAGGGAAATTAGTTGTCATTTAACATTGAGAGAAATGAAGAAGACCTAAGTAATGAGGGCAGTTAAGGGTCACTTACCAAATTAAGAATAATGATGGCAAAATTAATGAGGGCTGATAGTGGTCACTTACCAAATTGAGAATAATGATAATGGCCAAATTAATGAGGGCAGCTGTTACAGTTGTCACCAAACTGGCATTCTCATAAATGAGGCCAGCAGTTGATTTAACAACAGTGGAGTTGCTTGAGACTTGCTTGGGCAGCAGTTGTAGAGCAGCTAGCATTGACACCCTGTAGGCTATAACACCAATCACAGCAGTCACAGCAACAGCAGCCTGTACATGAGATAATAAAATATAATGTTTGTTATCACAGAAGTTTTACAGTAGACAACATCTGTCTCAACATGGGAAATAAAACACAATTTTTGTAATCACAGAAATTTTACAGAACTAGACAACAGCAGCCTGCACATGAGATAATAAAATATCATTTTTGTTATCACAGAAAAGTTATAGTACACTAAACAACAGCAGCCTCAACATGGGAAACAATCCACAATTTATATAATCACAGTAATTTTACAGTAGACATCTGTCTCAAAATGGGAAATAAACAACAATTTTTGCAATCACAGAAAATTTACAGAACTCTAGACAACAGCAGCCTCAAAATGGGAAATAGAACACCCATTTGATAATTTAATCTTGATGTATACTCTATTAAAATTACAAATGTGTAAGAAAAGTTAAAGATATTTAATTGATTCCGTTGATAGTGTATTAAATCTTAAAAGCATATAACTGAACAATATTTAAAAATTCTAAAAAATTAAAATCTTACCAAAATTAAATATGAGAAAAGTAAAAATCTTACCAAAAACAACATAATTGAATATGAGGTCAAGAAAATGGGAAAACGTCTGCGCCAGAAAGGAAGGTGAGGCTCTTTGATCTGCAGAATCAAAACAAAATTCGAATTAAATAAAGAAATAAAAATTAAGATAAATAAGTGATGTAGTGAGTCAATTGAAAAAATAGTCTACTGACCCCAGTGATAGGATTAATCTTCATGGCGCTCCAGTTCTCAAGTTTGGAGAGGTATTCAGGCCTGGGGGGTTCCTGGCGAGAGAGAGCACACATCAGGTCATGAGGTACAAGCAACATTGTACAGGCTAATATACTTCATTCATTTAACTATTACAACAACTATAAGAGTTCATATTTGTAAATGATATACATAAGTTATTTTTAAATCTTTCTCTGTTATAAATGTGTATTTATAAGTTGTATTTTATATGTACATTTAGAACAACACACAAAGTAAATGTAGAAATATCAACAATGTGAAGTGAATCAAATGTTACTAAATCTAACATTACAATAAGTAGAAGAATACATTATTCACTAATGTTGTGAATCAAATGTTACTAAATCTAACATTACAATAAGTTGTAGCCTACATTATTAACTAAAAGTAAAAACTGTGACAACTGAGAAGGGGTTAATACATTAAAGAAAAATATAATAATGGTGATGGGGTAAAACATTTAGATTTGTAAAATTGATGTTGGTGAGGGTTAAATTAAATGATAATAAAAAACTAAATAATGGTGAACAAGAAAAAGTTCAAAGTAATACAATAACAGAAAGTATCTAAATATGAAAAAGTTTATTCCAGCAATTCATCATGTGGGACACTGAATGTAGAATCCTTCAATTTGTGTTTCCTTGATTTTTTTTTATTGATAACAATCAGCTTGATCTTGCTGCATCAATTGTCTTGTCAAAAATCTTGCCATTACAGCTATTACTGTGACATCATGTTTGGCAATATCAGTCTAAAATATACTTGTAACATTTTGTCCATTCAGTATTAACTTTTCAAAAACAACAAACTTTAGATGATGCTCCACTATTTTTGGTAGTCCACATTCATACAGACCCATGCAGTAGAACATTTTGAGGCCATAAATCCAAGGCTTAGAGTAAGTAAAATGTTGTAGACTCTAGATTATAATCCAACAGTGAAGTTGGTACAAATCAAATGTGTATTGTCCACATATAGTTCCATGCAGTATAAAATCCTGGGAATGGTCCAAACTCCATGGCTAACAGCAAGTGAACTAAAAACTGTGCTTAAACATCAAATCATAGTCCAGTTTACTTACATAGTCATGTTAGCCACAACAGTTGAGGAGGTATCTGTTAATGGACATGGTCAGAGATCAAAAAGTTTTTAGTCATGTGACACATCTATTTATTTTCACAAGATTCCAAAAGTTTGCACTTGTTTGGGGTTTCATTTTCAGTACAAATTTTCTACTGTTTTTAGATCATTATTGAGAATTCACTATTTAATATTCGTAAGATTTGTTTTAAATTCTAGCAAACATAAATTCAAAGTTTGCATACATTGTCCAACTTACATAATAAAAAAAACACAAGGATAGCACAAAAACAATAACACAAAAATAGTTTTAAAAAAATAATAAAACTATGACAAATATAAATAAAGTAAACTATAATCAAATTCAAATATAAACACAAGGTAAACTAAAATGATAAACAAATGTAACAGAATCCTGTTAAAATTAGATGATCTACATTTGTTTAACATCATCAAACATAACTAATGTATTTGAATACAATGAACAGTGTCAAATGCATTACAATAATTTGATGACCCATTGACACAAATATGTATTTATCACTTAGCGTTGATATGAAATTTTATACTGCAGTAAAGAAAACAACAAGGAACTCACCTCTTCTTGTACAAATGTAGTTAGGTCCCATTTGTACTGGATGGTTGCTTCCTTTCTCTTCCAAAACTCCAAAAATAAAGTACCTACAATTTGTAATCAGTTTTAAAAATCTTAAATAAGGTACCCAAATGTGGTACAATCAGTTACAACATCTTGGTGAATATAGCATTTGTTTTATTGTAAAGCTTTTGTTATATCAGTGATTATATGGATGTTTGTTGGCAGTAAGACAATTTTGGCCAGCAAAAAGAAAACAAAATACTTATAACAACATTAACTGAACACCAAAATGGTAGCTGAATTGAAAACTATTGGTAAATATAAAAACCTGTTTGTGAAATACTGGGTTAAATGCCTTCATACATGGTCATAGTAGGGAAAACTTCATCTTCACAAGATATAACATGCACTCCATTGTTCCAAGCTTAATTAATTTAAAAAGATTTTAGTAATAAAACTCTGGTTCTACTGACCCCAAAGTGACATGAAAATGGCAAAGAACACAGTGGCTCCATTGTCAAATATCCTGCTGGCCCTCGCATGAGAACAGGCATCACTGAGCTTCCAGTAGGGGCAGCGAGCATCACACAGGGGGCACATGGTTATGTTGTTGGAGGTATCACACAGCTCCTTGCTGAAAACATAAGGGGCTCAGGTGTAAACAGGAATAGTGGAATCAATTTACCTTCATACTTTGGTTTAGTACATTATTAACTCTAGCTAAATTATATATATACGAGCCGGCCCGCGGCATAACATACGCCGCTATTTAGTTGTTGTTTTTTCTACTTTTCAGCAATTCATAATTTGTGAATTCGACAGTACCAACGCTGCCACTGAAAATATTTCTTTAAAACACTATAAGTAGCTTGTTAAGGACCATAACCCCCCCCCTTCCTCCCCCCCCCCCCCCACGTTTAAAATCGTTTCAAACTAAATTATCTGCCCCTAATAGTCGTCACTAAACCCGGCTCTGCTTATAAACATTTAGAGTGAACACAGCTCACTAAGACCATGTAGGGGTGGGGTGGTAGGGAGCGCGTTTACAGCTTGTTTTCTAGCGTCTCCCAGAAGAGAATTATATATATATATATATATATATATATATATATATATATATATATATATATATATATATATATATATATATATGAATTTATCATGTTATATTAATGAAATATATAAATAATGAACTATGTACTAAATTACCTTGCTACATTGGTATACATAATGGCAAGCCCATATATGAACACTGCCAGTCCTACCACAGTGGCAGGGACCAGCATGGTGGTGTAGAAGCCAAGCCAAGCAAAGTATAAGGCAATTTTCTCACCAAAGTACAGCCTGCGACACAGAGATGAAAAGTTAAATTTTTAATTCTTTGGGGAAAGATATAAACCTTTAACTCTTGTAAAAAAAAAACCACTATTATCTATTGTAAAAAAAAATAAACTATATGCTTCAAGTATAACCCTTAAAGCTCGCCAAGCTACAATCGTGGCTTTGCTGCTACATAACTTATAACGCATAAGACCACCTGGTGCGCGCTTTAAGGAATAACCATGCAACCATAGTTTACTAAAATTTTAGTTTATCTAAATGTATCATTTAATCAACTTTTACTAAAATTCAAATATCTAATTAATGTATGATCAGACCAATTACCTGATGTAATCTACAGGCTGAAACTTCAAACAGTTTTTCCAATTAGCCCAGTGGTCAAACAAAACCTTGCGTGGATTATCTGCTGAGCCTGCCTTCCAGTGGCCCTAGAGTGTAAGAACAAAATTTGCTAGAATATGTTTACAACTAGTTGGCATGATTCAGTGGGACATTAGTGTATCATGGGCTTCTGGCTTTATAAGAGCTTGTTTATCACACAAGGATAAAATGATACTGATTGTACATTGGAAACAAATTAATTTGTAAAAATAATAAATAGCTGTTGTAAAAAACTAAAATTTTTAATCAATTACAATAGTGACAATTGATTCCTTCAGTATGAACAAGTAGAGGGGATGGAAGCAGGCCTTACAGAAATAGCAATGTAAACAGAAAGTGATATTTCAACGCCAAGGGTAGACAAAAGTACAGAATATAGTCCAAGTAAAGACAGAACAGTTTAAACCAACGGGATTAGAACTATACTTCCTTCAGTATGACCATTTGTGTTTATCTAAAAGTAGAAGACTTCACTCACCTCATGCAATGGATAGGCAGCTGTGTAGTAGCCATCTGCTATCATTTTTTTGACACCTGGAGAAACATAAAAATGTGGATTTTTATACAGAAATAATATAAAAAAAACTCTTCTGTAATTTTGTAGCTGTTTGGGTTCAATGGCTCAGCATAACATTCCATTATGACATTTGATTATACAGTAGAAGGATTTTTTAAACTGCTTGTGTTTAAGATATCAACTTATAACATTGTGAATTGTTTTTTCTATGCTCTCAAATATATCTTTATACAGCTAGTACAAGAGACAGACATTTTTTTAACAAATTGCACGTCAAACAAAGAATAAAATCGGTACCACCATCATCACCAGTCATAACACCATGTTCTGCACATTAATGCATTCTAATGTGTTTATCGCTGCAGTATGTTTAAAAACAAAAGGCTAGTAATATTCATCGTCCAACCACATGTATGTTCATCTAGTCAATAAATTATAGACTACTATTTAAATAACTATAAAGAAAAGAGTGGGTCACTTAAGTATCTATTGGATACCTTTACTAATGTTAAGGAAGACACCCACGCTTTTCTTTATAGTTATTTAAATAGTAGTCTATAATTTATTTTCTACTTTTTAGTGCATTGTTACATAAAAGCTTGTTATTAAAACGTTTTTTATGAATTTTTTTTTCAGTACTTTACATGTTTTATTTACAATAGAGTTACATGACTAAAAACCATTGCGCGCCTACTGAACATCACGTTCAGTAGGCGCGCAATGGTTTTTGAACGCAGCCATTACGTGATGGCGCAGCTATTGAAGGTGATGACGCGTGTGGTGTGGTTGGCTAGACATGCCTACTAATTCGGTCCAAATTTTAATTAATTAATAAAAAATTAATTAGGCATCCAATTAAGTCAAATTTAGTTTCAGATTGCATTGTCTTCATGTCTTGACCCACGTGCCAACTGTGAATCGTGTCGGTCAAGTAGAAGTTTCCGAATTTTCACTCCTGCGTTTCTATCTAGACAGACTGACGACAGAGGAAGTGAGTTAAATAAAAGCTTGTAATAAAAGTGGGATGCTCCTGCAATACAAATACAAATGTTTACCTACCAAAGGCAAAGTTTTCCGTTTTACTGTCAGTAAAGGACTTCCTCCTCAAAATATAATCCACAATCCAGCTCCTGACTGAGTTACTGAAGTACTTGTTTTTATCCAAGTCAAACCTGTTTAGATTACAGCAGTATTACAAATGAGACGTGATATGGAACTATTTTAAGGTATCTAGATCTAATGTAAGTACTCTAAATATAAAAAAAATTCATAAAAAACGTTTTAATAACAAGCTTTTATGTAATGATGCGCTAAAAAGTAGAAAATAAATTATAGACTACTATTTAAATAATTATAAAGAAAAGCATGGGTCACTTTAGTATCTATTGGATACCTTTACTAATGTTAAGGAAGACACCCACGCTTTTCTTTATAGTTATTTAAATAGTAGTCTATAATTTATTTTCTACTTTTTAGTGCATCATTACATAAAAGCTTGTTATTAAAACGTTTTTTATGAATTTTTTTTTCAGTACTTTACATGTTTTATTTACAATAGAGTTACATGACTAAAAACCATTGCGTGCCTACTGAACATCACGTTCAGTAGGCGCGCAATGGTTTTTGAACGCAGCCATTACGTGATGGCGCAGCTATTGAAGGTGATGACGCGTGTGGTGTGGTTGGCTAGACATGCCTACTAATTCGGTCCAAATCTTAATTAATTAATAAAAAAATAATTAGGCATCCAATTAAGTCAAATTTAGTTTCAGATTGCATTGTCTTCATGTCTTGACCCACGTGCCAACTGTGAATCGTATCGGTCAAGTAGAACTGTCCGAATTTTCACTCCTGCGTTTCCGTCTAGACAGACTGACGACAGACTGATGACAGACTGACGAGGAAGTGAGTTAAATAAAAGCTTGTAATAAATAGGGAAATGCATAGAATTTTTTTTTGTTTTCAATTTAATAAACCATTTGTCTATATTAGTTATACAATTTATATTTGCTGTAATGAACTCACTTGTGTTGAATATGAACATTTTGCGCACACGATTATGTTAAGCTACTTACAAATATTCCCTACTGGCAGAATAGGAGCAGGTGTAGGTGCTAATGAACCCACTTAAGTTGAATATGAACATTTTGCGTACATGTTTATGTTAAGCAACTTACAAATATTCCCTACTGGCAGAATAGGAGCAGGTGTAGGTGCTAATGAACTCACTTGTGTTAAATATGAACATTTTGCGTACATGTTTATGTTAAGCAACTTACAAATATTCCCTACTGGCAGAATAGGAGCAGGTGTAGGTGCTAATGAACCCACTTAAGTTGAATATGAACATTTTGCGTACATGTTTATGTTAAGCTACTTACAAAAATTCCCTACTGGCAGAATACGAGCATATGTAGGTGCTAATGAACTCACTTGTGTTGAATATGAATATTTTGCGTACACGTTTTTGTTAAGCTACTTACAAATATTCCCTACTGGCAGAATAGGAGCAGGTGTAGGTGCTAATGAACTCACTTGTGTTGAATATGAACATTTTGCGTACACATTTATGTTAAGCTACTTACAAATATTCCCTACTGGCAGAATAGGAGCAGGTGTAGGTGCGTGGCAGTGGAGGCAAAACTTTCTCGTTGTAGTGGAACGGAACAAAAAACTTCCTGACAAGCCTGACTGTTGTGTCCCACAACTTGGTACCCACAGTAGGGGTGGGGGCCTGCATACAGGGAGAAATGGTATTTACAACACAGTGCTTCAATAAACAGAAGGGAAATAATGGCTCATGCTGGCAATTCACCAGTGTTTCATCATATAACAAAATAGGCATTTCAAAACAGAAACTTCTAATTCATACTCATTTGTTTTAAAAGACTTATCTACACTAGCATTTAATACCTTTATAATTAGCTTTTCAAATAAATTGAATGCATTTTTTAAGGAAGGAATGATAATGTAAATAATGTAATGAAATCCATTAATACAATTTTAAGCTCTGTTAATGATAATGACATGCATAGGAATTGGGAGAGGGGATTGGACGGAAGCTCTATCAACACATGGTAACACAGATTTTAGCATAGTTCACTGGCTAGCTATTACAATAAATACTCTTTAATATTAAATTTTAGCAATTTTCATTAAAATATTCCATTAAAATACACTGTCTTTTAGTGTTAAAACAGTTCATATTAAAAAGTTAAAACTATTTCAAAACTATTGTTGTTTTGATTTTGCAAATAAAACAAAGCTGTAAACTAATTTGAATCTACTTTTAAAGAATATTATTTTAAAAGAATTATAAGTGAGAATTTTTATAGTATACATTTCACAGATTACGTAGAAAATATTTTTAAAATTTCAATTTATAGTATTATGATGTTAGTGTGTTAAAGATATACTCAAGCAAATGGAAATGTGAGCTAACCTCCCAATGGCTTTCTTTAATGTGCTGTTCAGCAAGTGCCTGGATAAATACACAGTGATCCATAACAAATCATAAACAAACAGCTAAACATTCATACAAAACAATAAGCTAAACAGTTGTAGAAATTATAGACAATTAGCTAAACAGTATAGAGATCATAAACAACTAGCTGAACAGTCATAGAAATCATAAACATTGAGCTGCTCAGTCATATAAATCATAGACAATGAGCTAAACAGTCAAATAAATCATAAACATTGAGCTGCTCAGTCATATAAATCATAGACAATGAGCTAAACAGTCATAAAAATCATAAACATTCAGGTAAACAGTCATAGAAATCATAAACATTGAGCTGCTCAGTGGTACTCGTCATAAACACACTCTGAGATCTAACAAGTGATAACTAGCTAGTGAAACATAACAAATCATAAAAAACTAACTAAACGGTTAAACATAGATCATAAACAATGAAACAGTGATACAGTCACAAAAACATCACAAGTTTCATACATACCAAATCTGTAAAAGATAGTGAAATACTACACAACAAATGAAAACAATGAATCTAACCACTAAACATAACACGCCAAAATTATGAACATTCAGTGAAACATATCACTAGCTAACACAGCGCTAAAGATAACCTACAGATCCAAACCATAAACCATTGAAAAAGCTTAAGTCAAACAGGAAATAACATTAACACCTAGGGAACCAAAATTTTAATGATCTCATTAATCTGACCAACTAACACCTAAAATACTAAGGAGAATAATCTGTAACCAAAACATGCGAATAGGAAATCCAAAGTAAGGCAAGCAGTACTAATTTGTAGCACATAATGTTTCTCACCTCCCTCATTGGCATGCGCAGTTTGAGAATATCTGCATATCTCGTCAAGACATTGAATGGGGCATGAACCTTCAAAAAATGGACATCGTTGCCTCTCTGTTAAGCGAAAAATACAATTTGTAAGCAATGTTATACAGTTTTTTATATGTATTTATGTGCAGCAATTTACACTATAAGCGAAAAAAATAATTTATTAAAAAAAGATTTTAAATGGTTTATTAGCACTCAGCATATGAAAAGAGCATTCAACACTGTTCCCAACTGACTTCACTTCTCCTGACTCAACATACTTCAACCTGTTAGAACTTGGTAGACTCATGGACATCCTAGACCCCTGAGTTTAAAAACTCCTTGACTACACACCCAGCTCTTGAACCTCTACCATAGACAGACGGACTCACCAAATCATATTCCAACTCCAGACCCTCCAGCTTCAAATTCTTCTCAAAGGCTAGCCTGGCATCTTTGGCCCTTTCAGTTTTCTTGTTGACCTGTGTGCTCCAGGCCAGGATGAAATCAATCCTCCGCACCCCATCATCAAAGAACATATTCCTCACCTACAGCAGCCAGAAACAAAGCCATGGTATGAACATACCAGTATTCTCAGCGGGCAAATAAACAGGCTACACAATTCAAATCCTGTTTATCTACAAACATCAACTTTTTAAACAAGATTCTTTAAAAACTAGTTTAAAGGTAAATTGCACTTTGTCCAATATTAAATTCATATTTAAAATAGAATATATAAAATATAATGCATGGAGTTTAAAAAAGTGTGTGACTAAATTGATATAAGTGTGTAACCAAACTTAAATAAGCATGTTACGAGATATAAATAGTGTGTGACCTTTGGTGTGCCTTTAGTCTTGTCCACAGTTTGACCATCAGCATCCCCCTCATCATGTTTTGGTTCATACGCATCATTTCCTACAATTACACATTTTTTATAATTCACATTTTTTAATTTTTTGCTAAAAGTCACAGAAAGATTGTCGAAAAACAAAAACAATACAAAATTCTGTACACATCAGGTCAAACAAACAAAAATATGATAAAACAACTTTAAAATAAAATCAATATCTTGTTCATTGTTTTCTGAGTATTTCCATACTGTACACATATATTATTAAATAAGATAGACCGAAGATATTAGAACAGGGAGAATTGATAAACATTGCTGTTTATGTTTGTAATGATTAATGCTTGAAAAACTTACACTAAAAACTAAAGTAAAAAATGTGTTAGTGAGAATCTGGATTATATATGTATATTGCCCTGCTGCAGAATGTACACATTTTACAATCAGGTGCACATATTCACAATTAAAATATTGTCCCCAATATTTGCTCTATTAGATTTTTATCTTCTCTGACTTGTTATAATTTTTTTACAGAGTGCTGTCCCTTGTGGGCTAATACAAATAGTTCTCTGACAATATCTATCTTCCATGCAGTTCAAGTTTACTTGTAGATTATCTACCCTTACCAACCCACACACTTTTTTCACCATGAACATTGAACTCAGTGGGAACAAAAAAAACCCACATGTACACTTTCAGGGGTTCTAAAACTCTGAGACAAGCTTGGTGCAACAGTACCTAAAACTTGGCAAACTGTTAGCTGTATAGAAAAAAAGGATGGGCACTAATCCAGCACCATGGGTAGAGAACATTCTTTCTTTAAAGATATCATGGACCACTGCATGCAATCTATATTAGAGGTTTAACTGTATTGTGCAGTCTAGTTTTTTTTCCTGTTATCTTGAGCACAACTTTTGTGTGAGGAATTCCAGACAAAACCCATCAGAGCAGAAAAGATTTGAATATTAAGACGTGGGTTATACACACTGACATAGAAAAAAGTTTCTTTAAAAGACTTGGATTATAGACTTTACCATATCAGAAAGTTTCTTTAAAAGACTTGGGTTATACACACTGACATGGAAGAAAGTTTCTTTAAAACTTTCTCATGTGATCATCAGCTTTTTCTCATGTGATCATCAGCTTTCTCATGTGATCATCAACTTTCTCATGTGATCATCAGCTTTCTCATGTGATCATCAGCTTTTTCATGTGATCATCAACTTTCTCATGTGATCATCAACTTTCTCATGTGATCATCAACTTTCTCATATCAGCTTTCTCAGTCCATCTAGTGTCTGTAGTTATATGTTGTATGGTGTAGGCTCGAGGCAAGTTTAACATCAGAGGTATTTATAAGTTAATGACAAACATTCTGACTCATACTTTGTAAAACAAAAGAATTGATAGTATATAATAGTAAGTTATATATTATATGGTAAAAAAAAAGTCCTTGTATTCTAAAGTAAGATGTATGACTACTATGTGACCAGTAGCCCTATACTTGTAAACACATTATTTACCATTGAAGTCATCTGTCATGCTGAAGGGACCATCAATTAACATGAATTTAAAAAACACAGAAACATAGCCATGGATGGAATGTTTGATAAATTGAGTGTTGTACTAGCATTTTTTAAAATAGTTTTTTTTTTTTAACTTTGCATTTCTAGAGGAACAAAATGGCCCTTAAAAGAAGAACAAAAGTATTAAGTTTTTTGTCAAGTTTGAGTAAATTTCCTGCTAAACTTTTAGTCAGGCTTAGCAGGCTCTGATTTAACCAGTGTATGTATAGGCAATGTTAATGGATTACAAGTACAAAAGTACTATCCAGGGTGACTCCGCAGAGAATTGTGAAAGATTACAAGCTACAAATGGCTCTTATAACACTGAATACTTCAGACTATGGGTGCTATAAGTAGGTTATGCCAAGCAGGCTCAATATTAACTATCTCTCAGCATGTATTTAATTTAGCACTGTATCATTGTATTTGTATGCTTAAATGGGATAGGATGCAAGGATATAAAGTACAATACAGTGGTCAAATAAGATAAATGTCAAGGAAAAGTGGAAAAGTTTATGGGAAGTAAAAAAAAAGCTCTTCTAATGTAGATAATAAATGCTATAACATATATGTATATATATGGTAGCGGTATAGGCTCCCCATTAAATAGTTTTCTACCATTTTAAAGTGCTGTCTCGTGCTAGACCTATATGTACTTGCAATATTTTAACAATCAGTGGTAACATTTTAATATTGAACCATGGTTAAAACTTTTCAAAACTTACTTGAGTGCAATGCATTCCCCATTATGGCAAAAACTTTAACGGATTATGTCAAGTATCCAAATAGGATTAAATGGATTTCATGAACAATTGTGTCATTGAGGAAGAAATAAAACTGTTCTCTTTCTGTTATATCTTAATTCTATTAAACTATTGTCAGTCAACAAAATAATCCATCATTTAATTTTAATTCATGGAAAAAGTGACTTAATTGTACAGGCATGGTACACTCCCAATATAGGCTGGGTATATTATCAGGGGCTAATGTTATTGAAAGAAAAACTATCCTACTCTATTGGACTGCTACTATATTTATAATCAATACATCTTCATCACATCAAGAGAGATTAACTCAGAACTGACTATCAATTTAAGCATTTACTTGACATCGCATGATGTTGTCTATAATCCAACAGAAGTATCATGTCAAGCTTTCATACCAAAGTTTCTAGTACCTACTTATTAACTTAAGTATCACAAGTAACACCACTTTTTTGCACTCTTCCTAGTCTAGTATCTTTACCTACACTCAAGTGAGCAAACACATAGCCTACTATATAATGACCTCTTAAATATATCAAAGAGATTTCCTATTATGTACTTAAATACTACACTAACACACAAATCCTCCACTTGGTTAACAAAAACAACTGTAATCCATGCTGTATAAAGTATTTCCTACTCCATGAAGCACATTCTAAATTGTAGTGTGTTGCTAGTATGGGAAAATAGGTCAGTATGTGACTTCCTTTTTATTTTACCTGTGTTTTCTAAAGGTGGGGGTGGGGTGGTGAACAAACCTCAGCATTCAGATACAATGGAAGCAAAGGGTGCAGTAGTAATATATAAGCTTAAAATGGAAGGGGGAAAATCTATCCATATTAGATGTTCAAATGGTGGAAACTATAGTTTTAATCAGGACTTTCTAATAGGCCAATAGGGTGGCTATATTTATCCTTATTACATTTTTCTAACCCAAAGTTTTAATAAGTGAACTTGCACATACAGAATATAAGGTTACAAAACAGGAGAGTAATATCAAAAGCTATCATCAAGTAGCAGAAATTATTCCAATGGGAATTCCTTACCCTGCATGTTGTTACTTGCTACAGGCTATAAATGTATAGAAAAAATATTACAGATCAGGTGTAATGGCTTACTTTCAAATATCATGGTGCTTACTTAGATGCCATATCTTACGTCATGTGCTAACTTAGGTGCCATATCTTACATCATGGTGCAAACTTAGGTGCCATATCTTACATCATGGTGCTAACTTAGATGCCATATCTTACATCATGTGCTTACTTAGATGCCATATCTTACATCATGGTGCTAACTTAGGTGCCATATCTTACATCATGGTGCTTACTTAGATGTCATATCTTACATCATGTGCTTACTTAGATGCCATATATTACATCATGGTGCTTACTTAGGTGCTTATGTAGATGCCATATCTTACATCATGTGATTACTTAGATGCCATATCTTACATCATGTGATTACTTAGATGCCATATCTTACATCATGGTGCTAACTTAGATGGCATATATTACATCATGGTGCTTACTTAGATGCTTAATTAGATGCCATATCTTACATCATGGTGCTAACTTAGGTGCCATATCTTACATCATGGTGCTAACTTAGGTGCCATATCTTACATCATGGTGCTAACTTAGATGCCATATCTTACATCTTGGTGCTAACTTAGGTGCCATATCTTACATCATGGTGCTAACTTAGGTGCCATATCTTACATCTTGGTGCTAACTTAGATGCCATATCTTACATCTTGGTGCTAACTTAGGTGCCATATCTTACATCATGGTGCTAACTTAGGTGCCATATCTTACATGGTGCTAACTTAGGTGCCATATCTTACATCATGGTGCTAACTTAGGTGCCATATCTTACATGGTGCTAACTTAGGTGCCATATCTTACATCATGGTGCTAACTTAGGTGCCATATCTTACATCATGGTGCTAACTTAGGTGCCATATCTTACATCATGTGCTTACTTAGATGCCATATCTTACATCATGGTGCTAACTTAGGTGCCATATCTTACATCATGGTGCTAACTTAGATGCCATATCTTACATCATGTGCTTACTTAGATGCCATATCTTACATCATGGTGCTAACTTAGGTGCCATATCTTACATCATGGTGCTTACTTAGATGTCATATCTTACATCATGTGCTTACTTAGATGCCATATCTTACATCATGGTGCTAACTTAGGTGCCATATCTTACATCATGGTGCTAACTTAGATGCCATATCTTACGTCATGTGCTAACTTAGATGCCATATCTTACATTATGGTGCTAACTTAGATGCCATATCTTACATCATGTGCTTACTTAGATGCCATATATTACATCATGGTGCTAACTTAGATGCCATATCTTACGTCATGTGCTAACTTAGATGCCATATCTTACATCATGGTGCTTACTTAGATGCCATATCTTACATCATGGTGCTTACTTAGGTGCTTACGTAGATGCCATATCTTACATCATGTGATTACTTAGATGCCATATCTTACATTATGGTGCTAACTTAGATGCCATATATAACATCATGGTGCTTACTTAGATGTCATATCTTACATCATGTGCTTACTTAGATGCCATATCTTACGTCATGTGCTAACTTAGATGCTTAATTAGATGCCATATCTTACATCATGGTGCTAACGTAGATGCCATATCTTACATCATGGTGCTAACTTAGATGCCATATCTTACATCTTGGTGCTAACTTAGGTGCCATATCTTACATCATGGTGCTAACTTAGGTGCCATATCTTACATCATGGTGCTAACTTAGGTGCCATATCTTACATGGTGCTAACTTAGGTGCCATATCTTACATCATGGTGCTAACTTAGGTGCCATATCTTACATTATGGTGCTAACTTAGGTGCCATATCTTACATCATGGTGCTAACTTAGATGCCATATCTTACATCTTGGTGCTAACTTAGGTGCCATATCTTACATCATGGTGCTAACTTAGATGCCATATCTTACATCTTGGTGGTAACTTAGATGCCATATCTTACATCTTGGTGCTAACTTAGATGCCATATCTTACATCATGGTGCTAAATTAGGTGCCATATCTTACATCATGTGCTAACTTAGGTGCCATATCTTACATCATGGTGCTAACTTAGATGCCATATCTTACATCATGGTGCTAACTCAGATGCCATATCTTACATCATGTGCTTACTTTGATGCCATATCTTACTTCATGGTGCTTACTTAGATGCCATATCTTACATGATGTGCTTACTTAGATGCCATATCTTACAGTGATGTAAAAATGTCACAGATCAACCTCCTATAATATGATGTCATGGCTTACTTTCAAATATCATGGTGCTTACTTAGATGCCAAATCTTACAATGATGTAGACATGTCAGTTGCCAAATCTCATAAATGTTACAGTATAACTTTGTAAATCTCATTATATTGTCCGATGTAATTTTTCAACAAGCTGAAAGAAGCTACTATGCAATTTTACTTTAGATAGATGTAACATAATATTCATCACTTGTAAACATTTTATCTGACAAACTGCTGCTTAACAGTTTTAAGTCTGTTAATGGTCTATTCATCTTGGTTGCTGAAGCAGTTGATCAATATATCATGTTTCCCAGATTATGTGTTCACCAATAGAATGACATAAACAATGAGATAACCTCATGATATAAATGTGCAGATGCACTTATCAAAGTGTTGTAACACCCTTGTGGTAAGGGTAAACATGTGCTGTGACAATGAAAGAACCGCATGATATAAATAATAAGAAGGTGAAATAAAAAAGAGCTAACACAGATGTGCCTGAGCAAGCAGACAGCTGACGGAATACATTGACATTTGTCAGATAGCTAGTCAAATTGTATTTAGCTGCTCAAACAACTAAAAAAACTGGCATCAAATTAGGGTTTTATGACTAGTAACTGTGGTTGCTAATTTGTTACTAAACTGACATGACAAAAACTGGGTTTACTTCTGGTTTTTATTTTTATTTTTTAATTTAATATTAATTTAATAGTTCTTGACTTCAGTAGGATGAATTCCTAAAATTTTTTAATTGTCTGAGTTCTTTCACTTTTTTTTTTTAAGGTTTAGTGGACTGTTTAACTGGTGAAACATAAAGAGTGCAGGACAAATGCAAAAGGATGTCAAGTTCTTAAATGGGTTCACAGCCGGTATCACATTAACAACAAGAAAACGTTTGACTAGTGAAGAAACAACCATGTTTATATGCTTACCTCCATCATCAGCATGCAGCATGCTAATTTTGATGTCTTCGTCTCCTCTAGACATCTTTTATGTCTAATTTCTCAACCTTGATGAAAACATGTAACATAAGTTATGATTAGTTTTTCAATTGGTACAAAAAGTCAAAAAATATTTTTTTCACATTGCTTACCCCTAATTAAATGTAGCAACTGTGTAATGACACAATTTAGGTGCAATACCTAGGACAGTAGTATTGGTCAGCTTGAATCAAATCAGAGACAAGTCAAGTAAGAGGAACATGGGTAGTTGGTGAGCTAATAGGATGTATGGATAATACTAGGATGTATAGATACATTTAGTAGAGAGATTTAGTGTTAGTGTACATTAGATTGTTCACACAAGAAGTTGAGATAGCTAGTTGATAGAGATTAGAGTTGTTTTATTATAAATGTGTCATGTGTTCAAATACTTCTTTCTTATATTATTTACATACCAAAGTTTAGGAGTTATTGATTAACAATACGTTTTTTCAAGATGTCATTAAAGACAAATAACTCAGAAAAGATCTCCATACAGACAAGTTTTTCTCACCACATTTTGGTGCAGTATATTTCCTCAAACCACATTTAGTGGACGCTTTTTTTCTAACATGACAAAAAGGAACTACGTTCTTATTAAAAAGAGGTACAAATTTAATATAAAAAGGACACAATAATTCTTAACAACTATTTTTTCCCTTTTGCAGTTGATGTAAACTAATGACACCAAACTTTTTTGAAAAATGTGGACACCTAATATTGCCTTGTTACGACCCCCTTTCTCTAATCCTTTCGAATTAGTCAGGGAATCGTAAACAAGAAGGAGAAAAATAAAAATAGATAAACGCCAACTTCAGTGATCTCTATTTATTGCTACAAATTACAACACTTAAAGTTAACCCGCCACCAAAGAGCAACAATCAGAATTATACACACTATCTACAACAGCTAAAGTCCTTAATTCGACTGCCCTACTTGTCCCTAACTGTCTAGCCTAGCCTAGGTCTAATACATGTCGTGGCTTTCCACTAGCTCACAGAGACGACCCATGTCCATCTACTCTAAACCTAGCTATCCGAGACGAGTCCGTGTCCGAGTGTGTCTCGTGAGTTCTGACTGTCTGTCCCCAGTCTACCCCTCCTTAAATAACGGTCTCCTTTCTTTGTCTTCTCCATCCAGCCTAACCTAATTCGTACGTCGCCACAGTTCTGCTGTACCTAATGGACACCAGCGAGAAAAGTCTCAAAGGTATTTGAGAGGTGTATAAATTCATTTAAAAATCATGCACAGCGTAGTTACAATTAATATGGTTTTAAAATCCTGCCTGTCTGGTTTTTTTCGGACTTTACTAAAGATTGGATGTATTTGATGTTTATAATATTCTCGGTAACTAAATAAAAATTTAAAAAAAAAGCAAAAACAATTTGGTTTTCACGTGTAATGGCGACATAAACAATGGCATCCTGCCGTCATAGATTTTATTGTACACATTGTAAGCTAAAAATAGAAATCTAGGTCATGGGGTTTTAAATTTGCATTGTTATTTAAAAACTTGATCTGCAAAGTTTTGTAAACAAATAGTTATCGATCACTAAGTTACTGTACAGCCAATCAATATTTGTCTTACGAAAGTGAAACATCCGGTTATAACTTAGGCTTGATGAAAATAAATAGAAATGTAGCCTTAAACTCAACAAATTATTTTCAAGTTCTCTGGATTTGCAACTTTTATAGCATTTATTCTAAAAATATAAAATTTCTAAATTAATTTTAGGCTTAAGTTTTTTTTTTTTATTTTTTTTTTACGGTCTAAATCTAAAAAGCACGTTTTTATTCCATGTCAACAACATTATGGAAGGAATCTCGTTAACTCGCTCGCCTCCATTAAAAGGTCAGACCCTACTGATAACTTCCTAGATTTTCCTCCAATCCGCCCGCCATACTGTCTCCCCTAAGGTCACATAGGTCAATAAGGCTGTCAACAGTAATTATATTCTAACACAATTATCGTCACCCCTACCCCTTTAATAGGGTTAACTCAGGTTGAGATCTCCTGGGATCGTAACAGCCTGGATAGGTAAAAGTAATCCAACTAAATTATTAGGAAACACTTATGAAATTACAGAAATATTATTTTATGACTAAATTTTAATTCTAAAAATACACACACTGATGTAAATATGTTTGTAGAATTGGATATTAAAGATTAAAGATGGGGTGAATGGGGGGGGGGGGGGGGGGTGTTAAAAATACATCTTAAAATACACATCACAATAGGATTAGATGATTACTCCCTAATCTTAACATACACACCAGGTTATGGTTGGGACTAGAAAAAAGAATCTCTACCTTAACTTACAAAAGGGAGTGAGGACTGGTCATGATACCCAGTGTGCTGAGTGACAACATACATGAAGTTGCTAGTTTATTTACTTTATTTCTATCCTACTGTCTACTAAATTAATACAATTATGATTCATTAAAGGTTATAACCCAGTGAACATTTGACACATGATCAGCAGACACTACTATAATTTGTTTTGTATTTTACTAAAATAAAATTGCAGGATTACATGTCAGGAGAAAATAAAGTTATTTAGCTACAAAACAAATTGACAAAACTTTGTTTTTAGTTAGATGTTCACATATTACATAATGATTATGAATATTTAACAATACTGAAAGAATATTCAAAGTAGGTTCAAACTTTAAGGTGCAGTAAATTTTTAATTAATACTTTAATTAAATGCTAACACCTAGGATGAGTATGAGTCAGAGTGAGCCAAGTGGTTGGTTGAGGACATAAGCCAGTATACAGTTTAGAACCCCCCCCCCCCCCCCCATATCGGTAGATACATAAAGGTTGAGCGGGGGGGGGGGGGTGCAAAATCGAAAGTCTGGGGGGGGGGTACAAAGGAAAAGTTTGAGGGGGGGTACAAATGAAAAGTTTGAGGGGGGTGCAAATCAAAAGTTTGAGGGGGGGTGCAAATCAAAAGATTGTCCTCGGGGGCCGGGGAGGGATGCTACGCCTCTGATATATACATTTATAATGCAGGAAAAAATTTGAACCCTCATGAGACGATCCTGGCTACGACACTGCCTTACTGTGGCATCCTGGAAGATTTTTCTATCCGTCACATAATAGGGGCTCGACTCGCTGCATTTATTTTAGTGCTGTCCACTTGTGCAACAAAACGTGCATGTTTTACTGGACCTCCGTATCTTCTAACTTGCTCTAGATATCTATGAACTTACCACTCCACAAATGTTTAATTTAAAATCTAGCAATTTCATTTGAAGCAAACCAGCATCAATTCCAAATAGCTCAAAGTTAATCTCATTTGTTTTTGTGTTGAGAGGATCAACTTGCATTTCTTTTGAATTGCTCAAATCTCTCAGTGAACTCATCCTTCATTTTGTTTGTAGTAATGCTGAAGTAATTCATGTTAATAGTAGCGTTGGGTTTATCACGATGTTTTTTTCAGATTTTTTAAAAGTAACTTACGAAATTAAGTCTTTTTTTTTTAAACAATCCACTTCTTCAAGCAAGGCATATGCTGGATTTTCCTTTCTTTGCAGTTTCACATTTAGCTGGTTTAGTTTCTTTGTGATATCCACCATGAAGTTGAATGTTACAATTTGGGGTAGACAATTAGTTAATACATTGAAATAGGGAGTAGTTAATATTCTAATAGAATAGCGAGTGTTTATTATTTATGTTTATTATTTTATTGTTCATTACCGAGCGTTGCAGAACAATATTTTTATGAGTTTTGAAAATAAAATTAATAATTATTAATATTTAGCTTAGGCCTATTTGATAATATTTGTGCATGGAGCTGAAGAGCTGCATCTAGACATCAAATTCTACTACTAAGTAGTAAGTAAGTAAGTATTACTAGATCTAGTATTAGTATTTATTTAGGCCTAAGAACTTAAGAAGTGTAGTTTTAGTCACAGTGTATTGAGTGTATTCTTAGTGTATGGCTGTAACTAAAGTAGTGTTAGTAGTAGGATCTAGTACTGTAAGTGTTTTAGTTTACTTTTTACTAGTAATACTAGAATTCTAGATCTGTTTAGTCTCCCTACCTTTTTAAAACTTGCCTTGCTGGACAGAGGCTGTCAGATAGACACTCTACTACAGTAGTAATAGATAAATATTAAATAAGGAATTAGTTCCCTTTTTTAGCCGAAATACAGTAGTCCTAAACTACACAGTTCTGATTATTAAGCGACATTTACATTAGGCTAGGTTAGAATAATAAATCACAAGTCACATCCGTCGCATGATATGCTGGGGGTTGGGATTTATTGGTTATTCTAACTAAACATTTTTATGTCGCCTAACGCGATGTTCATACAGATCTAGATCTAGATCTAGATCTAGAGACCTGCAACACACAGGTGTCAAAAACCGGTGGGTAGGCCTAGATCTAGAATCTAGACAGGCCAAGAGTTATGCACCTTTTTAGTTTTAGTTATTCAATGCCAGATCAAAATATTATGCTTGGTTTGCCATATCTACATATAGAAAACTATTTTCAGAACTCATAATTAGTTACATTTCAACAGTGAAAATGTAACGAAATATCAGGAAATCTCACTGAACATAATGTAGAAATAATATAGGCCACTGCATAAAAGGATAGAGTAAAAAGCGTATAAAAATCAATCAGTATGGCAGCCTTTATATAGGGCATTAAAACAATACACAACTGTCCAAAACAAAGTTTGCTTGAAATTTAATCCTATAGTAGGCCTATCTGTTTTTGAATTATTTTGATGCTTTGCTCACACAAAGTCGATTACTTCAATTGCACTTTATTTAAACAAATAAACAATCATAGCTCTTTTCTATCATAACAATACATACAGCTTTGAATCCGCAACTGACTTGTTACATCATTAGGGCCGAATGACGTCTCTTGTAATGACACAAAAGGGGAAACGAACTATTTTAAAACTGAGGAATTATTCCCATCCATCTTTATTGACATGTGTGGTCGCGAATATGACATTTTGTTACCTGTAGCCTCTCTAGCTACTATGAAACGCAGATAACAAATGTAATGATGAATAGTTTATATATTTATGAATATTAATCTTTCAGTATAATAAACTAGGTAAATCTAACTAAATGAATGCATAACCCAACCCCAGTAACGGCTAAAAGTAATGTTTTAACATAACATTAGAAGATGCACAATTGTCTTGAGTCTTTCTGAAGAGATGAAGAGACGTCAGACTGTTGCATGTAAATTATAGGGTTCTAAAAACCGATTTTCGGCAGTGTATTTTTTTCTCCTAAATGTGCATTTTTAAACTGGTTACTTAAAAATATCAGTCTAAAATATGTCAAAGTATTTTCATTTTCCTTATTACTCGTTCCAAAGGAAACGACTCAGTTAATATTTTTGGCAAAACCAACCTGTCTTGGTTATACCCCTTAGCAGAAATGTGTAGGCTGGTATGCAGTATTTTCTTTCTGACAATTTCCCCCCTCGAAAAGATGCATGAAATAAACTCTGCTGGTGTGTGATCTGCTAAAGTATAACGATGGGGAGTGGGGGAGGGGATAAATTTGGCACAAAAAGCATGATGTCGTGTATTGACGACCCCAACTAAATATAGCTTGACTCGATTCGTCTTTCTAAATACTACTATGCCTATATATTTGTATATATATATATATATATATATATATATATATATATATATATATATATATATATATATATATATA